CCCCGCGCCCCCGGGGCAGCGCGGGCAGCGCCGGGGCAGCGCCGCGGAGCGCGGGGCTGAGCGGCCGCCCCGGGGAGTTTGTTCTGGGCCGCTGCGTCACGGCCCGGGGGCCTCCCGGGGGGTTCCATGCCGGTGGCCTCGGGCAAGCTGCCCCTGCCCCACGTTTCCCCACGGCGAAGGGGGATGAGGCCGCCGGCTTCCTTCACTGCCCRCTTGGAAGTTCAGCAGCCTCGGTGGGAGCTGCTCGGAGAGGAGGGTTTGGGTGCCTGTGGCTGGTGGCAGATGGGGGATCCATAGGGAGGGATTTCCCACYGCCTGGGTGTAGGTGGTGAGCCAGAGGGCTCCGCTGGAGCGAGGCCAGGTGATTGTGAGGGCAGCGAGCAGGTTCAATCAGCTGGAGCAGGGATCGCGGTCCGAGGCGACGAGCTCTGAGCAACAAGTCTTTCAGGTTCGCAGGGTGAGGTGCTTCTGCCTGTGTGAGCCCTGCCCGCGATCCACCGCCGTGTGAGAGAGATGTGCGTGTAGTTTCGGCTGCTGAGCTGGGTGCTCCCCGTYCCCCAGTGCAGGGAATGCCCCGACCCCTGGGTTTTGCCTTGGAGACAGTGTTACCATGTAGGGATGTTGTGCAGAGCCTGGGCCAGGGAGGCTTCGGGAAATGCTCCTCCTCTCTGCGACTCCTGTGGGGCTGAGGCTCGTTAATGCCTTAAGTCTGTAATCAGATGTCCCTGCAGAAGGAGGAGGATTGTCATGATTAATTAATTAGACGTGCTGAGAAAATCACGAGCTTCCTCTGAGGCCTTAGATGCTACTTTGTGAGTTAACAGCAGGTGGCAATCTCTCCATATAGATTTTCTTGTGGAACAGTGCTCTGCTTGTGAGTTTTTGTCAAGTGTCCACAGGAGGTTGCTAAAAGAATGTCTTTCTTCCCTGGTTTAAGGATCGTAAGTCTGGTTCTGGATATAGAAGTACAAAGTGTGTAGAAGAATCACCTCTTTGCAAGGAATAAGGCTCCAAACAGCTTCTTTCTCTTTCAAATTTGGAGCCCATTAATATGCAATGGAGCTGAATTGATAGAAGGTGCTTGGGTGAGGATGGGATTCTGTGACCTTTGGGCTTCTTACGCATCTTCTGTGGGTCTTCTCAAGTCTGTCACTGCTGCTTTGTCYTCAGGCAGAGGGACGTCCCTGCCTTTTCAGGGGTTGTGATCCAGAGCTTCTGTGCTGTTAACACAGCACTCACCCCAAAGGTGCRTGTTTGCTTTCCTCTGAGTGGCTTGGCTGCGTTGTGCAAGGTGCTTTACCTTCCCATTCCGCGCCAACTTATTCTGGTGAAATAGGGTCACCAGTGTTGGCTTTCTATGCAAAAGGCTTTGTGATCTATTGATCTGCTGAAGAGTTGGGTGATTGATGTGAGTTGTGCTGCTCACAACCACTCTGGCATTGAGGGAAAGACGTGGAAGTTGGTGCCATTGGCCTAGCTAGTCCCTGATGGTTGTGCTCCTTGTTGCTTCCTCACCAATTAAYTTAAGTGAGGGGAGAGGTCTCCTGGCCATTGCCCCTTCATCCTGATGGATTCACAAGGGAATTGTCCCCTCAAAGCCAATGAACAGTTATGTGTGTTTGTACAGTGAGCTCTCTTGATGGATTGTAACTGGAGGAGGAGGAGGCAGGAAAGGGTCTGGTAAGTAAAATACCAGCTGTCCTGCTCCCCAGCACCGCTGGAGACAGGTAGTGCCTCGTGTAATAGACCACAGGTTCCYCCCACGCCTTCTGGGCACAGCTGTGCTCCTCTGCTGGCAGCTGGAGCAGATCAGCCAGGGACTCCTGTGCTTGTGGGACACTGGTGAACGGGGGCTGCAAGCTTGTGGCAAAGAGGCCTAGACAGAGGCCTAGAGAGAAGCAGGAATAGTGTGTGCTGGAAGACAGAAAATAGTAATATTTGTGTTATTGTGCATGTGTTCAGTGCATGGGGCCTTGACTAAGTTGAAATAAAGCTAATGTGAGACTRGAAATAGGTACTTTGAGAGATTCCGCCGCAGACTAATGCGGACAAGCATTAAAGAAATTCTAATCAAGCAGCATGTCCTATGATGAGAGAATAGTGCATGGAGGGGAGAGAGGATGTCCCTTTCTTCTGCTTAGTGTTGGTAAAAAGAATATGAGTTACTAGTCATCAGGCCCAAATCCAACAAGCAATGCCAACTGGATTCTCCTTTCAGATAGCTGGAGGCCAAAACTTCATATAAGCCACAAGGTGCCTGAAGTTTCCTTCAAAATTTGTCTTTTATGTGGTTTGATCAGTCAGTGGGTGGCTGGACACAGCAACCATGTTTATGAATCTGGCTTGGAATAAACACGTATATTCTGGTCCAGGTAAGACCAAGCTGCCCAAACAGATGCTGGTAGCCCTGTGTCGGAGCAGAGGGCCCAGRTGATGCCGCCTGTGATTTTGCCGTTAGCCTGGCTAAAGCAAACGGCTCTGAGCAACCAGGGAAGATGAATTGCAGCGAGCTGTCAAGATGCAGAGCGTTGTGGCGTGCTGCCAGTTTTGCTTTATTCAGCACAGTGTCAGCTGGAGGCTCCGTGAGCAGCTCTGTTTAGCTGGAATTCAGTGATTGCAGCCAGGTTTGAGAGGTGCAGGAGCCACTTGTGAGCAGGGCCCTGCTGGCCCGTGAATGAGGCATCTTCTTGAGTATCGCTGCTACTATACATTGTTTATATACTGACAGGCCTGGAAGGTCAGGGCATAGCCCGAGTCCCAGAGGTGTTGGGGGCTTTATCTGCAGCAAGAATGGGGTCCTATGTTGAATTGCAATGTGAGTGTATTTTAATATTCAATATTGCAGGTTCCTGGCTGCCTGTTGTTGAAGTTTGACTTACAGTTATCCTGCTGCTGCATTACTGCTGAGCTAATCCCTGTCTGGTGCCRTAGAGAATTCCAGTACCGTTTTACAGGTGCCAGTTGACCTATCCATAGTTAATTTAAAAAAAAAAAAAGTCGTTAGAGCTGAGACTAAAATGTCATAGTTTCTTTTAGATCACTCACCTTTTACCATTAAAATATTTCATTTGACTTCTTCAGTTTGTTTCTTTGTGCATTTTGAGCAGAGTGAGAACAAAGTACAGTAACTGAATTGGCACTTGGTAGTATTGTACTTTGTTTTCTCTTGCCACGTCACTTTGCTGTTTGGAATTTAGCCTGTCCTGAGATTCTTTCTGCTTCTTTTCTGCCTAGGTATATTCTGACATCAGCTTATTCAAAGAGAGCAACTAGAACTTTGCAGAGACATTTGTTTAATTTCTGCAGCTGGTGTAAATGAGCCTGGACTGAAGACTTGAGTATGTTGTTTAATTTAGATTCTTGTCCTTTTACTGCAACTCTCCTTATAACTGGCATAGGGGAAAAAGAGCTATATGTGAAACAAAATCTGGGATCAGACATGTGGYCTTTTATTTTTTTTGAGCTCTAAAGTACCCTGATTCATCCCAGTAAAATAATATTAACTATCTTAGGAAGTATCAAATAATTTTACTCTATTGAGAGCCATTTGTTTTCACGCTGCAAATATTCTTCTGTGAGGGGACTATTTTGTTACTGGGGTGGTTATTTTGATGCTAACTTTGCCAGACTGTTCTAGCCACTGTTCTAACCACTGTGTATTTTTTTTCTGTTTTTCTAGAGCCTGGAAAATGAAGCTAAAGGAAATAGAGCGAACAGCTGTCCAAGCATGGAGTCCAGCAAACAACCACCCTGTTTATCTAGCAACAGGTAAAATTCTTTATAATTCAAGGAAATGAAAGTATGAGTCAAAGAGAGRGATTATGTGGTATCAGTCATATCTTTTAACAATTCTCACTAAAATAAACACTGGAAAAATTAGAAGCAAGTTTTTTTTTGCTTTTTTGTTATGTCAGTCTTTGACTCTTTAAGGGGCTTTTTTTCAAGGAAGGAAATTAGCTTTTTACTTCTAATTAAGTATTTACTTCTAATTAAGTCTATTTGCTTCAAGTGTCTGAACTGTAGCACCTGCTTGCTATAAAAAATAAATTAAGGTTACTTACTTGGTATGTCTGTGGAGCAAAACTCATTCTGATCAYGTCCACTTAAGCTCACTTTGGGTTTCAGACACTAGCACTTGACAGCTCAATTATAGAGAGCTCTCACTCTTTTCCTAAAACTGCCTTTTTCTGCTTAATTTCATTTTTAATACTTCTGCAAACCCTTARATTTGCGTTTTGTTGATATTATTCATTATTTGCTCTTCGTGTAAATCTTTTATTTCCTGAAGCTTCAAGTCAGCACGTTCGCTGAGTTGGCAGCAGGTGACTTTATTGCTGGTGTGGAGCTGCTGGCCTGAGCTGTGTCCCCGGCATGTGAGCCAGCCAGCCCTGGTTCTTGCCCGCGTTGCGCAGCGCTGCTGTGGTGGTGTTGTTGCTGCTCTTTTATGGGGCTGRCTATCTGGAGAACATGACTAAAGTTCAACTGTTGCCTTAAAAGCAACATTACTACTTTTAGYGTAGACTGTCTATTTTGTGCCTTTCTAATAAGGCGAGGGTTTTCGTTACACCAAAGACCTTGACCTCATTCTACTTTAGAAGCTGCATCATTTCATAATTTATRCTGTTTTTTTGTAGTCCCTTGGACACTTCTCCTCCCATAGGCACTCATGGAGGATCCCTGTGGTAACTGAGTGACTATATGCTCGACAGTGTCCTGTTAGGCAATCTTCAATCTATTTTTAGCTTTTATTCCCTAAACTAGGGAGAAGTAAGGAAGCCATCCCTATGTGACTGCTACCTTTTTGTGTGTTCTCGGTGAACTTTTAGGTGACTAGGTTTGAAGAACTTTTGTTCCTGTCTAGGTTTAGAAGATGTGATCAAGACTTTGTGATTAGGGACCAGCATACAGAAGTATTTGAGATCATAATATACGGAGTTTATACCTGGGTTTCATGATGCAGTTGTGTTTGTAATTTTGTAAGGACCTATTATTTTGTAAGGACCTATTATCAATGGTTGCGGCTGTTTGGAAGAGGATATATGAATTGCATCTTCCCAGAGAGATAAAGGTATTTTTTGCATCAGTGGCCTGGATGCTCAGCAGTTCTTGAAGAAGTCTTGATTTCTTTCAGAGCATTTGCCTTAGCTTTAGGCTCCTCTGTTTGGACTGTTCAGACATGTCCTGTCCTTGAGCCAACAAGGACATGTCGACTATCAGTCAAGAATTTATTCCTTGGTGAAAGATTGGTTGCAGTGCCAAAGCCTTGCTCTTGTTGTGTCTTGTGTTCATGTGACCACTTATAAGTGTTCCCCTTATACTTCTACTAGGAACATCTGCCCAGCAGCTGGATGCATCCTTCAGTACAAATGCCACCTTGGAAATATTTGAGGTTGACTTCAGGGATCCCTCTCTGGACATGAAGCAGAAAGGAATCCTCCCTGCCTCAAACAGGTACTAGAGGTTGTGGAACTCAAGAGGACTTTTTCTAGTACAGGAACGGGGAGAGGGTAAAATCATATTTTCTAGGTTTAAAGTGATCTTTTGGAATTAGTTTGCCTTCTGTCTTTAAGGACTGATCATTCTTGGCTTGAGACAAGTCAGGTTGTGTATGTGATGTGTTTGCAAAGGTACAGCAGTTACATCAGTGGAGAAGTCTAAAAGGCTTCTGTGTTAGTCTGGTGGGTTCTTCAGTATCATGTGAAATAGCTGGGGTTTTAGGTTTACAATTAAAAAAAAAGGCAGTTGAATGATGCTTGCTTTTTAGGAGGAAGAGATTTGTTACATTTGCCAGGAATGTTTGTACCTAGTGCAAAAAAGTTACCTTTGATTTGTAATCAGCAGGTTTTACAGTGAATAAGCATATATATTTGTGTGTGTGTGTGTATATATATATATTTTTTTTCTCCAGACTTGAAGGCTGGAAAGAGCGTAGTCCTCTAATCTTACAATCATGTCCATATTGTGTAGTTCAGAGTATTTCTCTCACCAAATCCCATTTGAAGTCCTAAACTCTTTAAAAAATAAAAATAATTWAAAAAAAGAGAKCTAYTGTAACTTCCTTTGTCACAGACACTGTAAAGAAGCTCGTTTCTTTTTGGATGTAGGAGCCACAGTCAACCTCAAACRAGGTAGTTAGTTAAGGTGTGCAGATTGATGTGGGTGTTGCATAGGGTGGAATATCGATATGATTCTTGGTAGTGCAGGGTATCTTGCCATCCACTGAATATTGTGGCTCATGCCAGCTTCATTTTCTCTTTCTTCAGGTTCCATAAGCTGATCTGGGGTAGCTTTGGCAGTGAGTCCCCCGAGTCCTCTGGAGTGATCATTGGTGGAGGGGACAATGGAGTGCTGACAATGTACAGCGTGCCCCGCATCCTCGCTTCCAAGAGCGAGCCTGTGATTGGGCAGACAGAGAAGCATTCCGGCCCCGTCCGAGCTCTTGATTTCAACCCTTTCCAGGTACCCGGCCTTGAGACATTCGCAGTTAATGAAGGTTAATYGCCATGAATATTTCACATGCTTATGCAGGTCTATAAGCTGAAGGAAGGGATTTAACCCGTAGGAGAGTGGTTTGTGATAGGAGGTAGTTGTGATACAGGACTGGTCTGGAACTCAGATTTTTAGTTCTGTTTTTTTCTTTCTTTTTTTTTTTGTTTTGTTTTTCTGAATTTGCCAGTGACCTTGATTAAGTTGTTTGTTTCTTTGTAAATTAGCTCTTGGCCAACTTTGGGAGCTTTGGGGTTCTTCTGCTTAGACTTATTTTTAGGAAGTCCATCCCTGTGAGCAGGAAACTCTGTTGAGCTTTTACTCTCCTTACAGAGTAACCTCTTGGCCTCCGGAGCAAATGATTCTGAAATTTTCATCTGGGACTTGAATAACTTCAGTGTGCCTATGACACCAGGAGCTAAATCACAGGTAAAAGAGTTTTCCTCTGGGCAAGACCTCTGCAGTTTTGTTTCTCAGGAAGCAAAATGAAATGATAGGAGGGTGTGGAGTGATCCTGTTCTCTTCAGTCTCTGAAGGGAGAATCCTCTTGACCTCTCTTAGGAGGAAGGTGAGTTGGAACTGACCAATTAGTTTCATTCTGGAGAGGTGGAGGGAGTGGTATGGAGGGAAGGGAGGTAGGCTGTCAGCTTTGGAGGGATGCCGATTGCATGAATGGGTGGGCACTCTGTGGATTTAAATCAAATTACAGACTAGTTTATCCTGAGACTCAGCTGGGGCATGTGTGATGGATTAAGAAGGATTATTGGACCTTCTCTGAGGTGCAAATTTGCTTCAGCTGAAGCTTTTCATCCTGTGATAGCAATATTCCCAGTACAGCCAATGAGTCACTTAATGCATCTGGGCCATTATTTCCAGATGTTTCCTAAGCTCAGAAGGGAAGCTTCAGTCTTCTGATCCTGATTATGTTATTCAGGGCAATCAGCTCCTGAAAGTGGAAAGATCATAGTAAGCTTGCTTAAAAGCAGGCCAAGATTTCCTGCAGTTAGCATTCTGTTTGTCTCCTTGCCGATCTCTTTCATTGATGTAGATAAAATAGCAGGAATTAGCCTTGAATGCTTCACTGTCCATCTTGCTGTACTCTTGAAATGTTGCACAACGTCATTTTTCCATTTTAATTTCACTTCTGGGAGCTAAGGTAGAAACATCTATGTTGTCTCTGTTTTACAGCCTAATCTCAATATATTATGGGCTCTTCTGTGTGTGTCTGTTGCGTTATTGTGGAATTAATAGTTTTGGACACATTTGACCAGTGCAGACACAGAGTAGAACCTAATACCTGCTCACAAGGTGTGAAGGAGCTTTTGCAGGGGACACTGCCCTCTAGAAATATCTGTTCACTGCACTTTTTGTGAAGGTTTTCCTCATGCTTCCTTATGTTTCCTGTCAGTGTTGCTCCTATTTCCAGTTAGTTGATCAAAGATCAAAGAGAGGAATCTATAGATTCTCAAATATTCTAGTCAAGCTGGTGACAGACACCTGCCACTGATGTTCCGTCCTCATGAGGGTAATTATCTGTGACCTTTCCCATCTTGGCAGCCTCATGAAGACGTCAGTGTGGTGTCCTGGAATCGGCAGGTGCAGCATATCCTGTCCTCTGCTCACCCAAGTGGCAAGGCTGTGGTTTGGGACCTCAGGAAGAATGAGCCCATCATCAAAGTGAGCGACCACAGCAACCGGGTGAGTGGAGGAAGGCCTGGGGTTTTGATGGGTCTGCAACTTGCCCCATCAGTGACTGCAAAACAGTGGCATGGGCTCTCGAGATGAAGTGTTCTTGTATTGTGGGAGCTGTTGGGATTGGTCCTCTTGGAAATGGAAGGCCTTTATAAAAAGGCTATAGTAGGAGCTGGGAGTGAATTGGTCCAGAGCATCCTTAGATTTTAACAGTTTTGAGCTGCTGCAGCTGTGTTCAGAGTCCCTGTTTGCAATGAGGGGAGAAGAGTCAAGGAGCAGAAGATTGTAGAAACAAGACATTGCCTTGCTCTTTGGAGTACTTGTCCTGGGTCAGAGCTTGAGGTGGCCAAATATGTGCATAATTCATGCTGTTGCCATGCTGTAGTTGTCAATCCAAACCAGCATTTGGCTCATTTTAAAGCATGGAAGGCTGAAAATAAATGCAGCAAAGTGTTATTTCAGGAGGTATCACAAGTTGTTGGACCTTGAGAAAGATGCAGTTGTTGATACAAATCATCCTCTGAAGAAGGAAGACCTAAGGTTTTGTGTGTCTGTGCCTGCAGGCAGATGTTCCTATAACCTTGCAGCGAGATTGYTGAAGTTCCTAAAGGAGTGTGTAAGGAAATCTTCCTATATCCAAAGCAGGGCTCCCAGCTGTGCAGGAATATACGATAAGTCCTTTAGTTCGTAAAAGAATGAGGTGGGAGTAGAAAAAAATTGCAATTGCAGATCTCTTCCTATACAAATGTAGAATTAATCTTTCAATAGGATGAATGGTTTTTTTTATGTTCTGTCTTGCTGTTACCAGTCTGCATTGCTGAATTTTCAGCCCGTGCTATTTTTGTCCCTAGATGCATTGCTCAGGCATGGCCTGGCACCCAGAAGTTGCAACCCAGCTCGTTCTTTCCTCAGAGGATGACCGCTTGCCAGTGATCCAAATATGGGACTTGCGTTTTGCTACCTCTCCTTTGAGCCAGCTGGAAGGGCACACGAGGTGAGGGCCTGCTAGTCTTGCTGCCTTTGCAAGGACCTCTGTGTTTAAAAGGAAGGCAGCTGTGGGAGACTGAGCTTTGGCAAGCTCTGATGTGTTTATAGGCTGCTTTGTTTCACCGACTGRTCTGGTTCAGGCAGAAATGAGAACTAGTATTTTTGAGCTTACRTGCAAATGTATCTTCCTTTTTGACAGGAAAATGGATGGGTGTGAAATATGACTGTATTTTCTTTCTAYCCTATTTTAGGGGAGTTCTCTCTGTCTCTTGGTGCCACGCTGACCCTGAGCTGCTGTTGAGCAGTGCCAAAGACAACCGGATCTTGTGCTGGAACCCAAGTACGGGGGAGGTAGGTGACCACAGCTAGAAGTGCATAGTGTCTCCTGTATACAGAGCTGTGAGGCATGCTATGTGTGTGTCCCTGCTCTGTATTTCTGTGAAGGAACAATGTTGTTTCCAACAATTTGTCTTCTGCATTTTTCCTGTCCAAAGAGAATGAGGTTGTTGTGCATGTGCAATCTGAAAACAACAGAGACTTTCAGATATTTCCTCCATCTGYGTACAGAGGTCATAGAAGGAAAAAAGTTTAAACCAAAACTTAGCTTCAGCTAATCTTAATTACTCCTTTTTTTGTCCATATATGTAGTGGATCCTGTGATCTTTTGTATCTTCTTTCTCCATCTTGTAGAATATTCAAAAACAGAAGGAAAACCTCAAGAATAATGAGTATTTTTAAGGTCTCAGAGAATGGAATAGTGTAACTAAAGATGTGTACAAACTTTCTCCAGTACAGAGGTTTCACAGATGTGTGTTCATTGTATCATGCATCTCAAATACCATCTTTGAAATACCGAGGCAATACAGCCAGTTTTAAACATCTRAAATAAGGCTGTGCAGAAACTTCTCCTGCCTATTCATTCAGTGCAAAGTTTTTGGATGAAACTGGGTTTTGAACCTCTGAACAAAATGCCCTCAGTTGATCTTGATGATAGCGTGGACAAAGTACTCTAACAAAGACCAGCCAGGAGCCCTAGGCCAAATGCAGCTTGTGGGACAGTTTCACTGAGCTGACCTGGAGGCAAGGAAAACAGTTAAGCCATTTTTGTGAAAGGCATAAAATGCTGCCCTTGTGGTTTGATGCCTTTTGATGCTAACTCTGTACAGATGTCTAGTGGCTAGAACAGAATCTAACTTTCCTGGTGTCGATTTGTAACTGAAGTTCGACTCCTAAAACACCATAGTTTAAGCAAAGAACTTAAAAGCCAATTTTAGTAGAGATGGTTTGTCTTTACATGCATGCTTTTGTAGATTTGCAGGGTCTAAATTTAAGCAGGACGTTTATGCAGAGATTGTTAGGGGACTGTTTCAGTGTCATGTGCTCATGCCTTCTCTCTTTCTGGGGTAGGTGGTTTATGAGTTGCCCATTCGGAGTCAGTGGTGCTTTGATGTCCAGTGGTGCCCTCGGAATCCCACAGTCTTCTCTGCTGCCACATTTGATGGGTGGATCAACATTTATTCTGTTATGGGTGGCAGTTTAGAAGCTCAACAGAAGACTCAGGCTGACAAGGTAAAGTCCTTTGAACATGCCAGGGCTTGAGGCATTGGCAGCTTTTTATCTGGCTTCTGAGAGTGTGAGAAGCACACCCATGTAACAGCAGGGTTTGAASGAATACAGTCATCTCACCCACAAGAATGAACTGCTGTGTGGTGTGTGTGAGAGCCAGAAGCTGTCTGGGTGGGGACTTAATATCCATACAATTCCAGATGGGTCGTAGGCCTATACATTGCCTCTTGATAAAGAGTTTTCTTGGTATCTTTTGTAAAGTGAAAGTATATAAACAAAACCAAAATCAGGAGTTCTGATGATACATGTGTATTCTGTGATTGCTACTTCTAGGCTAAAACTAAAGTAGCACAGCTGTTAGAGTARTGAGCCTTTCTTGCCTTTAAATCGAAATTAAATAAATCAATACCAACTAATACAACAAATTTTCCCTTATTACCTATGAAAAAGATCTTAAAAAGTAGCWTATTATCCAAGCCAGTTGACTATAACTTGGAGTTAATGGCTTAATGGCTTAATAAGTTGGCTTAATATTTTTGAAACTGATACCGGTTGTCCATCCAATGAATAGATAGCCAAATTCTGAACAAAATAAATGTCAGTGTTATCTGAAATGTTGTTTTCAGTTTGTTGTCTGGCCTCTTAATTCCTTCCTTCTCTCCCAGCAAAAGAAAATATTAAAATACAGTTTTAAGAGAATATATATATATATAAGCATGTTTAAGTGCTACTTTATATAGTAATTTGTATCTGAGTTCAGTTTCATAGGATTTGCAAGAGAAAAAATATTTTATGAAGCAACAGCCATAGGAGATTAAAGATTTATATAATCCACGGAGAATTTCCTTTATGTGTATGTGACTACTCTTCCACATGTCAAAATTGAAGAAAAGTAGTGTAGAACAGCTCCCAGGTAAATAAAATAGTACAAAAGTAGAAGACAGTAACAGGTACAATCTTACATCTACAGCAGTAGAAGACAGTAGTTAGAGAGGCAGGGGAGTTAATGACCTCTTCAGCGCTCCGTCCTCTGGATTTCGTGGTATCAGGACAGAAACTTCTTGACAAAAATCTTCATTCTSATGTTCCTGATATCTCTGTAGAGTATATTTATTTTTTTAAGGTTTGGGTGAGGGGAGATGATCTCTTAAGTTCAAGGTGTTCCCCCAGAAAATGATCTGTTTTAGTTTCCMCTCAAGTGACTGGTGACTTGAAGGACGAAGTGTCTAGCTCTTGCCTCTGGTTCTTCCTTTGGCAAGCTGGCCTTGCACAGCCTTGCGTTGCTCCCATTCAGGTCTGCCAGTTCCTTGGGCCTACACCCCATCATGCAGCCCCACTTTAGTGGGGTTCTCTGTAAGCATCAAGCCTATGCCAMCAGGATTAAAAACTGCGAACACTTGCGAGCAGCCCTGTGTGTATATATAGTCACTGACTTAGAAATCAAGATCAGGGCCCAGTTCTGACTAGACAAGAAAGTATGAAGAGATTTATTTCACCAAGCCCATCTGAAGTCTTATACAAGTTGGAGACGGTCCTTAAAACGAATGCTTTCTAAAGACACCCTCAACAGAAAAGCAGTCAGCACTTATTTCTTGTTTTGCTCATAAAAAAGCTGGGCAACTTTTGACCATATGTAATTGCTGCCTTGCATAAAGAAAGTAATTTTGTAACTCTTGTGTTTATGAGCTRGGTGCTAGGCCAAAAGCAGTGTGTGTTAAGCAGTTTACAGTTTGCTAAGGAAAACTCATAAAAATCTCTCAAGGTGAACCTTGCATAAGAAATAATTTCCAGAACTGTTTGGAAATACTATTTCTCTCATATAGGGAGTTGGTGACTCTCCAGAAAGAGGAGTAATAGACTCTTTCTTCATCTGCAAAGAGGGTAACTAATTACCAAGCAGTAGTTGAATGTATTTATATCATAAAGAGGGGAACAGAATTATATTTCACCCCCCTTTTGCATTTGATCCTAGATCTCCTCCTCCTTCAACAACCTCGATCCCTTTGGCACAGGACAGACCCTTCCTCCTCTGCAGGTGCCAGAGCAAGTAGCTCAGACCACCTTGATTCCACCTTTGAAAAAGCCACCCAAGTGGATTCGTAGACCTGTGGGAGTTTCATTTGCAGTAAGTAAATGGAGCATCCTTAGCTGAAAATTCAATAGATTCCTCTCTTTTGATGCAATCTATTTTTCTTGTTAGAGAAACCTTTTTCTTTTCCTGCTACTTGCTCTTTTGGATGCCTGTGTAATGCGCAGTGTGGTGTTTCATACAAGGAAGCTCTCCTGCCCTGTGTTCAGATACATTTTGAACAAAGTCCGATAGCAAAGCACATAAGAGAAGGAGTTTACGGAGCTGAAGGAAGCTCATAAATTTCCCCTGTAGGCTCTAGCATATGCATTCCCATTCTACTTTCTTGTCTTTCTCCTTTCTACCCACATACATAATTTTCAACTTGCTTCTTCTGTCTCTCTAGTGCCTGCCACTCACATGATGCATTTTAATCAGTGCAGCCTGCCTGACAGTTGCAGAAAAGAACAGTTCAGAGTATTTCTTCTTCTGTGCCTCTCTGGCCTWTGCAGTTGGCTGTGCCTGATAGCACATACACCAGCATGATGATTGTCAGTGAGCTGAAGGGCTTGTGATAGGAACTCCTTCCAGTGTCACTAGCAGCCAGGCACATACAGATGTTCTTTGTGGAACTTGAGCCAGCTTTGTCAAATGAAAAGCTGAGTTGTTTTTACCTTCCCTTACAAGAAGGCTTACTGTGTCTCCCTTTGTTCTCCTCAGTTTGGAGGAAAATTGATTACCTTTGGTCTTACCAAAGTTTCTGGACAGCAAGTGCAGCAGACTTGCCCTCGCCAGGTGTTCATCAGTCAAGTAACTACTGAAACAGAGTTCCTGGTCCGATCCAGAGAACTGCAGATGGCCCTGCAGTCAGGGAACCTCCTTGAGTACTGCAAGAGCAGGATCCAGACAGCCAAGCTGCAGTTCGATGAGAACCTCTGGAACTTCCTGAAGGTAGTATGACTATGGAGAAACCCAGGTGTCTGTTCTTCTGCATTCCTGGGGTGAAATGTACCTATTATGTCCCTCTATAGCTGTACATATTCCTATTCTACAGGATTTTAAACTGTACTAGGTAGACTAATTAATTATTCATCTAAAGAAATGTTTTGGCAGTGGAGATTTTGGAGGCTTTTTTTTTCAGTTGTAATGGTCTTTATGGTAGACTATTTGGGGCTTTCAGTCTGTATGCTAAACTGATATAGCTTGGATAGCCAGATATACCACACTTATAACTATGTGACAACTCAAATTCACCTTTATGTTGCAATTATAACTTAAAATCAATAGGCTTTGGAATTAAGGCTGCACAGTATACAGCAGTCASCAGCCAGATTTGTCATAATTGGGTCCAAACTCTAAACTTTGCTGCAGAAGCAACCAGTCATTGGAGCAAGAAGATGAGGTTTTCTTCTCTCTTTCCATTTTCCATGGGACCCAGGTGAATCTGGAGCAGGAGTCCAGGACAAAACTCCTCAAGCTGCTGGGCTACAGTCAAGAAGATCTGCAAAAGAAGGTAAGGAGTGTGTACAACAGAGAGAAGCCTATACAGGGCTAGGGCCACTGAAGGGAAATTGTGGGGTCCCTACTGGAGATGAGTGAGTGATCTTGTGCCACATGAAAGCTAGTTAACCATGAAATTTCAGGTGAGGGGTACCTCACCCCCAAACTGAAGCCTAGGGCATTGGTCAAGGAACTGCTCTGCAAAGAACATTGTGTAGTTTTTTTGGACTACAGATGGGGTGCTAAAYCAGTGTATGCTCATGAAACCTCTACTGAGATCTGAGGCTTTCTCCCCAGACCTGAAAGATTAACTGCTTGTCTCTGAGGTCTGCTTTGAGAGAGTGGTGTAAAAAGAAAAAGTCTGAAAAGGCTGTTCAGATCTTTGGTTTTCTTTGGGTTTTGTTTTTTGTTTATGCTGAGCCTAGATCTCCTGAATTCTTATTAAAAAGCAAATGTTGGCACCCATGAGAATAAAACCACAGCTGTGCAGAGTCAGACCGAAGAGGGCTTGAGGCCGATATTTTAGCTCTGGTTGTTGATGCCCAGAGGAGCATATAACAATGTGGTAGTTGTGTGAGTGTTCTAGCTTCCAGCTGTCTGTGCCTCAGGGAATTCCTCAGTGAGAAAGAAAGTGGTAGATGAAGGCAGTTGGGCATCACACTGATGGAGCAGTGGCAGAAGAGACTCTTGCAGCAGCGTGGTCTGTGCCCTCATGAAAGGGACAAATAGCATCTGCTAGATAACTAAATAATAGAAATAGGGAGAGATGGAACTTTTCAAACGGGTGAAAGAGCCAGGGGAATAGCCTGTGACTTGCTGGTCAGTTGGCTTCTTTGCTGCCTATGCGTTTAACAGATGCTTCATCCTGTGAATATCTATTCTTTCGTAGATCTCCTCCTGCTTGAGTAACGGGATTCCAGATAAACAGCCCCTTCCTGAGGTGGATGAGAAGAATGCTGTGCAGCCAGGTCAGGTATGTCCTATGCATAAATTCAGTCTGGGAAAACAGTGGAGGGCAGAATGGTAAGGTTTACTTCCAACCACAGGTTATTGGGCTCAATGCAAGAATCACAGAGGGCGGTTCACAGGCCTGTCTGACCCTCACAGGGCCAGACTAAACACTCAGAGGTCCCTTCTGTCATTAAAACAAATAATCGAATGATGAAGACGGACTCCTGGCTGGTAACACTGCAAAAAGGCTTGCTTCACCTGTGCTGACTTCTGCGGTGATAGAATTAGCCTCACCCAACTTAACTTCGTCCTACAGTTCTGGATTTCCTCTGTGAAGCTTCTGCTGTGGTATCTGTTGTCTTTATTTCCTTTCCACGCCTGTTCTTTGAAATGTTATTTTCACATGATTTGGGATGACTTCAGATGCCTTCCAGGGCTTTGTTCAACATTCACCATTAATTTTGCTCTTCTAAGGTATCCAAAGCTGCTTCACTCAAATTAGCAATCTCTTTTGCAAACTGTAAACACTTGCTGAGATTTTCTATGGCTAGCATTCTTTTGTCTTGCATTTCTATAGATTATCCAGCATGACTGTGATCCTAGCTGTTAAATATAGATATCACATGTTGGGCTTGCTCATATTCCATCCAAAATTGTTCAGCTTACTCAAGGGCTGACAGTTGAATGGGTGAAGGCTTCCATAGCAGTACTGTTGTCACTGCATGTTTTACACCAGCAAGCTTGCARGGTATGTCAATAACAGCACTGTTCTTACTGCTGCCTCACTGAAGCTGTACGGGTTGATAGAACGGTGATGTGGGGCATGAACAATTTCCAGGCTGAAATTTGGTTCATAGAGGCATTCTCAACCAAGTGAGGAGCACCCCATCCTATTTTTTAATCCACTAAGTTATGTTGGGAAGGGACTGGTGTATTCAATGAATTAACTTCTTGTACTCTTTGCACAGCTTTTGATAAATTCCAGTGATGATGTAGCTGCTGTTTCCTCCTCTTCAGCCTTTTTTGACAACCTCATCCCACAGGACATGAGCAGTTTGGAGATTCCTGTCACAACAGGTATGTTATGAGATATGTCTGCCCTTCCTTAAGGAAAGGGGAGGAGGGAAGATGTGAAAATGGTTGAGATTAGGGGAGGGAGAAAAGGGTCCACTAGATAAATGCTTCTAAGACTTGTGACCAATCTCAGTGTCTTGCAACATCTGTCAGCRTTTTGCAAAATAATACTCTTCACAGGTAAGAGACCCATGGGAGGGTATGGGAGAACCTCCCAAGTGACAGAAGATGTTCAAGTYGGTGATTTCTTTGGAGATAAAAAGCCTGATTTGTATTTCCAAATGTTACTTTGGCTGGACTTCCATAGCTTATTGTATTTACTGACTGCTCTTTAAGTGAACATGATTAATGTGTCTGGATGGTGCCCTTGTGGCTTAGACCTGCTTTCTCACCTCTCCAGATACTGATGGACTCATCAGCCAGGCCCTTCTGCTGGGGAATTTTGAGGGCGCAGTGGAGCTCTGTCTGCGGGCAGAACGCTTTGCTGATGCCATCATCTTAGCCATTGCTGGTGGGGAGAATCTCCTGAGAGAGACCCAGAAGCGCTACTTTGCCAAGAGGAAAACCAAAATTTCCAYGGTAAGTGATGGGCTGACGTGATGGACCCACTGAGCAATGGAAGGTATGTGGTATCTTGGTGGATGTTTGTCCAAATATGTGGAAATGCTTTGAGGGAGAAGTGAAATGTTGCCAGAGTCTTTCTCAGTTTGGCTAGACATCTATTTAGCTGTTTGCTCGATACTTTATACATGACAATTTCATGCTATCCGTTTAGGATTTCATATTCCCCATTCCTTTCTTTTTCTCTAATGATTTCTGCTTCATCTGTCTATGCCTGTAACCTGTGGAAAGTACCGTTCCTTTAGGGCTCTCRGCTAGGAAGGTCCTAGCTCTACTAACTGCCAATTGGAGACTAACAGGGTTTGGTTGTTGGGCTGTCCTAACCCAATGTTTTCATGATCCATACTAGCTGCTGGGAAACAGAATGTGTGTTAGATATTTGGTGTGGCCATTTTCATGTTCAATCATGTGCTTTAGTTGATGCCTTTTCTTTTCTTAGCATGAATATGCAAAGAAGTAGTTGATGCATATGCAGAAGCATGTTTCAGAGTGAGCTGTCAATGCAGGTGCTCTTGCTCAAACAGTCAGCATATCTTAGTCTTCAGTGACTGACAGATCACCCTCTTCTCTTACAGCTTCTTTCCTCCATTGTGCAACAGAAGTGGCAAGATATCGTTTGCACGTGTGATCTACAAAGCTGGAAGGAGGCCCTGGCCATCTTGCTAACGTACTCAAAGCATGAGGACTATACCCAGCTCTGTGGTATGAAGTTTATGCTGTTTTGGTATGGTTTAGTTTAGGGATGGGCACCTCTGGACTGCTTACAGAAAGAAGTACATCAAGTTGAGGAAAGACAGATKCTTGCACATAACTTGTAGCTAGCTGGAATTTGAATTATGTGGGCTGTTGATTTAGAAGAATGAATTATGCATGCTGCTGCTGAGAGTAGTGATGTAAAATGAGACATGCTGATATTCCATGACATGTTCACCAATAGCTTGGAAAGATCAGGGTAGGGACTAAAAGAAGGTGATGTTTATTGTTTTATTTGGGGAGAGAGAAGTTTTCCTTCCCAGGAAAAGGTCAAGTCCTCTCCATAGAGGGGGATTTCCTCTGCAGATTCTTCTCACTTTCAAGCTCATAAACGCCTTCAAGTGTTTGATGCCTTCAAAATACTTTTTGATGGCTTCAGGAGTCTTCTGCATCCTGTTAACAGTTAAATATATTAAGCAACTGGTAGTTCTGAGAGTCAGAGTTAGGGGGCAATCCAGTGACAGAATCTCAAAAAGTTACTTACCGGATAAGCAATTTGAGTAACTTGTGGCTTACAAGAGAATGGCCGAGTGATTTGGGAGAAATGCCAGCACTTGAGTATGTGAAGTGCAAGAAAATATGTTGTCTTGCATGGAACTAATTGTAGGGATGGAAAGCAACTGTAGTGGCAGTTATAATTGGAAAGCTCCAACGCTGTCCACTTTTGCCAGACCGTGATAACTACCAGATTTCTGGCTGGCTGTCGTGTTGCATTGTCTACTGAGATATCCACACCACTTTAGAAAGAGAAGGTTGGATTTTGTTTCACTAAACTCCTCTGTCGTTTTATTTTGTATGTYTGGCCAGGTACATGAAAATGGACAGATATTTAAAAATGATTTTTTTTCTCCAACCAAATTGGCTTTCTGRTTCATTAACAATATCTATTTCTCTGTTATCCCAGAATTAGGTGCCGATCTTAAGTTGTCAACACCTTTTCGTGTCGACCCCAGCGTAAAATTACTGAGAGGAGCTTGGGGTTAAAGAGATCTTCCGAAAGAGACAGTTAAATGTCGGCTGTGCTTCTTCCTCTGTAGACATGCTGGGCGCCCGCTTAGAGGCGGAGGGAGATGCGGCCCTGTGYGACGACGCCTGCCTCTGCTACATCTCCTCGGGCAACGTGGAGAGGTTGGTGGAGTGCTGGGTAAAAAACCATGAGACTTCGTCACCCCTTGCCCTGCAGGTACACGTGCTGTCATGTTGGTTTGACGCCTTTCTAGGCCAGTCTGTTTGCATTATACCGTCAAACGCAGTATTTGGCTTAGGCAAACAGTGCTAAGGCCTAAGGCCTAAGGCCTAAGGTTTGCCTAAGGCACCAGGATATCTCCTTCTAGCCTGGATTATGTGGCTGCATCTAAAGGAGACCTGCACCTTTAAATGATAAGGGGTTTGTTTTGATGGTACTGACTGCATACCCTACGTACAGGAGCTCTGAGCTACCTGCCTCTCTTTCTATTTACTATCGTCATTTCTAGGGTTGCATTGTAGTTAGGGAATTTTGAACTATCCCTGTTACCTGGTTGGTAGTTGCCTGGGAGCACATTTYCTGCTATTAGTATTTGACTGTGATGCTTCTATTATTTGGCTCTACTTTCATCAGGAACAGCACCAAAAAGGCATCTTCCGCATTCCTGGTTATGTTTGGAACTGTCCTTGTCCCTCTCTATTATCAGCTAGTGATAYTTGTATCATTCCATAGTTACAAACATTACTTGGATTTTTGGGAGATGAAGGAGCATAGAAGAAGTAAAGACCTTCCGGTGGTTCTGTCAGCATTAGCAGTTCTTCACAGTTAAAATTTCCTGGTACAGCTTTAGTGCTTTCTCTAAAAAGCACTCAAAGTGATACCTTGTAATGTCTGAAATTACAAGAGGAATCCTTTTTTCCCTTTACTGTTAAAGTAGCCATGTCAGGGTCTGCTGCTTGTTTTCCTCCACTGAGTGCTTCTGTTCCTGTGTTTCCAGCTCTGTGAGGAAATGCTCTTCAGTGATTGTAGGGGTGCCAAGTGTGTTAACTTTGAATCACCTTGGACCCCACACGTCAGCTGAAGGTGCAGAAAGCTGCCTGGCCTTGTCCCAGCATGAGACAGACCAGGAAAGCAAATCTGATTCTGAGGAGTCTCTTTCTTCCCTGAGATTTTATTTCCTGTCCTGTCTATCCAGGACCTGATAGAGAAGGTGATGGTGCTGAGCAGGTCCATTGAGATGCTCCGAGGCACAGCAGGGCCAGCGCCAGGCCCTGTCTTGGCAGAGCGGRTCACCCAGTATGCCAACCTGCTGGCGTCGCAGGGATGCCTGGCAGCCGCGATGAATTACCTGCCCAGCAGCTCCAAAGAGGTGAGGGAGAAACAGGCTGCTTCGGAGCAGCTTACGTGGGAGGGGGATACTTTTTGCAAAACACTTGGAAGCTTGGGTTTCARCTTGCACCAGGGTCACCAGGACCTGAAGCTTCAACTTAATTGTGATAACTTGAGAATTAGTTTTTAGTTTTTCTAAGGTGCAACTTTTGTTTTCTCCAAATCAAAGGTATTATGAGGGAAGGGAGGAGGGGGGAAAGGGGAGAGGGGGAGAGAGCCCTAGTGCTGTAAAACGGTTCCTGGAGAGCAGTGCTGGGAAGCAGCTTCTCAAGGAAGATGCACCTAATCCTGAAACCAGCTGTTAGAGAAAGAGGAAGGGAATGGGGAGGTCCTTGTCATCCAGCAAGAATGTATTTAGTGTACAAAAATTCATGGGAACGTACTGCAAATAGTGGGGGAAGGTTCAGTGAAAGTTGATTAAAACCTCTTCTGCAAATGAGGTGATAGGTAGTCTCCCTGTGGCTTGCAGTTTTATTCCTGGGAATTATTGGAGAAATGGTTAATTCTATAGGTTGATGCTTAGGGCTTTTGGTCAGGCACTACTTTCAGTGCTTCCACAGCATGAGTGGACTCTGAGTCTGAGACTCTGAAGATGTTTCCCTAAAGTGTATTTTGTTTCAGCTCCTGATCCAACAGCTTCGTGACCGGCTCTTCCACGCTCAGGGAGGGAATGTGGCTGATCAGCAGCCGCCACCTTTCCCCTACCCTCGTATCCATGTGGGTGGTGTTAAACGTGAGTCTCCAGCAGCCAGGAGCAGCTCCACCCCTGAAAGAGCAGCGCACAAACCAAGCCCCAGACATCCAGAGAAGGTAGGTCTTAGTCTCAGGTTATCATGGCCTGAGGGAGAAAAGCTAAAGGATTGTGGGGGGTGTCATAAAATGTTGTGATGCAGGTTAGAAGCCCTGAGGAAGACATGTCCACAAGCCTCAAGCTGGCAGAGAGGGCAGCACCCAGTCTTATGCTCTTTGCCTCCTCCTCCTYCTCCTCCCGTCAACCATGGTGATGGTGGAGGAAATCCTGTGTGTTCCTGAGAGCAGTAGGGTCTTTGCTGCAGTTCCTGCAGAGCACTGACAGAAGCAGCAGCTTCCCTCAGCTGAGAAGTGAGAATAGGGAGCGTATATACTTACGTATGTGAATGCACGTGAGTCCCTATATGTGTCTGTCAGCCATTAGAAGGATCTTATTCTTTAATTGCAGCCCACCTATCCATCATCATTTACCCCTTCAGCACCTGCTCAGCCTTCTGTGCCTTCCGTCTTCGCACCTCAGCCAGTGCCAGCRATGTCTGCACCACTTCAAACCAGTGCTGTTCCACAAACGAGCATCTATTCCAGAGGGCCCCCATACCCACAGTACAACTTGGGCATGGCTCCAGTGCCAGTTCCAGCACCAGGTAAGCATTGTTCATCATCAATTTTTCAGGTGAGATTTAGGGTTTTTTTAGACCGAAGTGTTTAGGAAAGAAAGCTGATGCTTCCTTGCAAGTACAGTAGACCCATGAGGAACCAGTTGGCTGTCAAAGTGCCTTTTCGGTGCTTCTACATAGCTGGTCTTAGCAGCTGTGTGTTACTTGCAGCCGTGATAGCTGCACATTGGGGTGGAGAAGCTGCTGCATCTTCTGACAGCCTAATATATAGGGGGTTACACCAGTTTCTGGATCTTCTAGGTCATGGGTTGTAGAAGGAATACTCAGTGGCACAAAGGTGAGCAACTGGAGTAGTTTGGACATGGGTTAAGTGGTGCTGATGCATTCTCTCTCATTTGTAGCACTCACACAGTCTCAGCCATTCAGCCCTGCGGGAGCCAGACCTGCTGCTCCGACRCCCTTCCCCAGCCAGCCTCCTCTGCCAGGACAGTCCACGGCCATGGCATCTCCTGGTGTGCCACCGCCCGGACCCACCATCTTCGCTCCAGCCTCAGGCCCATCACCGCAGCTCCCTGCAGGTTGTCCTCTCCCCATGGCAAGCCAGTCTCCTCTGGGCTTCTCTTCTGCACCGTTCAACTGCCCCATGAACGTGGGTTACCCTCAGGGAGGCCCTGGAGCTCCATCTACTAAGCCCCTGCCGGCAGCCAGTATTCCTCCACCTCCCACAGGTAACAGCGCACATGTGACACGTGTCCTGGCAGTCCTGGATGGGATTTGCAGTGCTCATGTACCATGGCTTGCTGAGCTCTGGTCTGGCACCATTAAGGCTGGATGTGGTGCTCTGTGGAGCTGAGCTTGCAGCTMTGTGGTCTGCATTGCTGTGAGCGATGTCTCCTCATTGCTCACAGTGATGGTGACAGTTTCAGGCTGTTGAGGTGCTCTGGCCCYCAGGTGGTTGTTACAAAGCCCTGTATCTTCATGTTCCCATTTTACCCTGAGTAATCCTCTACTCCAGAGGAACCGTCTCTGGTAGAAAGGGTGGTGGTTTCCAGGAAATACCTTTAGACCCTGGRAGAAGGCTTTCTGCTCTCATCCATGCTATGTAACTTATATAACATCTTGAGAGAGAAAGGAGGTGCTTTTCTCTYAATTGGACACCTGTTACCTGGCTTCAGGATAAAATTCCTCTATCTGCTTGCTCTAGTTCAYCCAGTGGCTTCCTATTCCCATAAAGTGCTTGCCTGGGAATGTCTTCCAAATTTTTCTGTATTCCAGGTTCTACAGGATTCCAGATTTGGAGTCATTCCCCTCTGGGCCTGTAGTCTGAACCCAGCCCAGCCTGCAAATCTTGTCAAATCCTCGCTAGCACAGTGAAGAAAATGGAGAGAGTTTTTGGAACTAGTTCCTAGTTGATGGGTAGCCCCTGTGTCCATTTCCTGCCGCATCAGCACAGCTGGTACTTGTTGTGTGTTCTGCCTCAGGGAAAAGACTTGTCCAGGCTGTGGAGAGCCCCCAGAGAAAGACTGATGGTCTTTTGGTCCTTGAGCAGATGCTTCTCTGAGCTGTGCTCATTGTGAGAGTGAAGTGATGCTTTGTGGTCTGCCTCCACCTGGAGTCTATCAATAGATAGATAGATTAGTGATAGAGTCTATCACTAAGCTGCGTTTAAGCATGGATGGCAAACCCCACAGCAGGARGCCTGTGGTGGCTGCATGCAAAGGCTCTAAGCTATGGTTGGACCAATCCCTTCCAAAAAGCTATTGAGATATCAGTTAGGGATGTTAGTGCTAAGCAGAAGTTACGGTGACAATGACTCTTACTCCCACCCTGCCTTGATTTTTCAGGTTTCTTCCCTTGGCTAGATCCACACTTGGATCGTGCAGGTAGTACACAGAGAAGCCTCCAGGCCTGTGGTGGAGGCAGTGCTGATGCTTCCAGTGAAACGTGGGGTGTGTGCGCATGTGTGTGCATGCGTGCATGTGTGTGCATGCAAACGTGTGGCTGTTTGCTGTGTTCCTTGCATGCCTGGGGAGACACACACCTGGGTAGTGCATTTGTAGCAAGTGATAGCAAATGATGTTTAGGGGAACGTCAAGGGGGTGCATCCTGGAAGGGATGCGGTCCTGGAAGGATTAGAGCATTTCAAGTCTCTGTGTCCCTTCTGACAGCYGTTGGGCCAGTAGGATGGGGGCAATGGCTCTGCTACTTTCTTGTGCCTCTAAGCAAGGAATAAACTAGCAGTTTTAACTCGCCGCTTATTTTTTTTCCCCCCCACTGCACTGCAGCTCAGGAATCTTCATGGATGACTTTACTTGCTTCAGATGGGCTGCAAAAGTTGGTCCCAGAAAGARCATCAGTAGATGAGAGCTTCCCCAGGAGAATCTGGGGCCCTGTTCCAAGGGGAACTGGAAAGCCTTTTTGGTTTTAGTTGCAGGGCAAGGTTTGGGTTTAAATATCACTTCTGAYACCTAGCAAGCCCAGCTGTGTGGAGTAAGACCCTAGAAAAAGGGYTGTCCCTTCAGTGCAGAGAGGAGAAAAAAAAAAAAAAGAATTATCTTTCTCTGCTGAAGGCAGAGATCTCAGTCATTTCCTCTGGCTGAAGGTATCCTGTGGGTCTCCACTGCTGGGAAGTTCTTTTTCCTTGGCACGCATTTGCTACAGTTAGTTTTAATAGAGTGAAAGGCATGCCCAGATCAGCATGTGCAAATGGACTTCCTTCTTCTTTGAGACCTTGAGAGTGCTTTTGTTTGGTTTTTGTTTTCTTTTAAACATTGGAAAGAATCTGTAAAGTCACTGGTTGAACTTTCTAGCTTTGGAAATTCTTCTAGCCAAACATCTTGTGGACACATTCTTACTAACTTAGCGAAGAGAAACCTTGGAGAATGTTAGGACAGAATGAAAGACAGTGACCTGTTGGCTGATCTCCTTTCTGGCCAGGATAAWCCCTATTTACATCCTGTGACAATCTTGATTTTTCCATGGCAGGCATTGCYGGAGGCTGCTGCCATAGGGCACTTCTTCCATGGTTGGTGAGAAATCCCCTCTCACCACTAGTGTAGGCAAGTTAGCCAGSGTTTCATCCCAGGAAAATGCAACAGGGTTCTGCCATCTCATGTCTGAYGGCTTCAAGTGCCTGGCTTAAAGACTGTAATTTAAATAGCTGTTTCCTCTGAGGATTAAAAGTGTCACTGAGCTGGAGCAGTGCCAGGGCTTGCTAGGCCACACGCTCAATGGGGGCCTGCAGAGTTCTAGGGCACAGAATCCCCAAGCTAGAAATAAGTGCCAATTTAATTAAACTTCTGATTCAAACTCATCAGAGAATAAGCCTTGAAATCATGGGAAAAGGAGGGAGGGCAAAAAGAGGCTGCCAGAATTGTAATAATAAAGGTAATTAAAGTGATGAAGCACCTTTTGCGTTTTTCCCATGTGGTATTTTAGATTTTTTTTCCAGCTCAGTTCAGGATCAGTGGCTTATAAGTATAGCACTGAGCTCTAGAAATTCTTCTGATATTGCTTCTTAAAACTGTGCCACTTTAGCAGAATCYTCCCATTTTACCAGCTTGAGATTGATCCTGAGGTGACAAATAAAAATTCAGTGGGGTTTTGGTCTGGAGATTCAAATCTCCAAATCCCCTTAAAGAACAGCAACAAGCAAGACAGTTGTAGTTTGACTTTAGCAGAATAGGATGTGGTCACAAGCTTTCCAATTTTATGATGTCTGATRGATTTTTAATTGCTTGAATTGAGGTTAAAAGCTAGGTACCACAGAAACATYTGCCGAGATATTTGTGTGCTCCCAAGGAATTTAGCAGTTAACTCTGCTCCTTTCTAGCTGAGAAGCCAGCAAAATTTCCCAAGCTGTGGCCCAGAATGTGATTTTTAGAAGGGGAAAATTCAACCCCCAATGCAGTCCTTCTCTTATCACAGCAGCCTGCATTGCTTTGATTTGCCACTGCGAGGCACCTGTGAGCACTGGTGAGACTGTCAGCTGCAGTCCAAGTTTTGCTGCGGTGGCCACAGGAACAGATTCTGTGCTGGGGAACCCCCGGGCGGTGCCTGGACCCTGGTGTGCACCCACGTGCAGGCTCTGACCAAAGCTGGTGCTGGCTCCCAGGCCAACTTCTGTGGCCTGTGCAGAATATGGGAAACTTCAAGTAATTGCACACAAAGCTGTGTGTGTGCAGACCAGGACATCCTCATCAGCTCTCACCTCATGCAATCTCTGCACATGCTTAGATGTTGCAGAAGTATTTGAGAAAGGGAAGGGAGAGTATTTCTTGTGTTGTGAGCCAGGCCTGGCATTCCTTGGCTGAGGTGTTTGAAGATGCAGTGATTGAGGGGGTAAAGAAATCAAGAGATGTGGGTCTTTTTCCAGAAAGAAGTTCCAAACCATGAAAGCAAACACAAATTGCTACTCTGGTTGCCTTCTAAAGTCTGACATCCTTGTTGTCTTCCCTGTCCTTGCAGCTCAGGAATCTTGGACTGATCCTTCTGTTGCAAGAGGAAGCCTTCAGAAGAAAAAGGTAAGCTCTCAGCTCAAATATCTTCTGGTTGTCTTGCAGCCAGGGACAGCAACAGCTGAATTCAGATAAATGCTCCCTGTTGCACTTGGCAGCTCTTTTCCAATGTAGGTCTGTCCAGTTCTGCACTGTGCACTCAGCTRATGCTGGAATCTGCTGAGTCCTGCCTGATGCAGTGCAGACTTGCATGCCATTCTGCAGTATGTCTGGCTTGTGTTTTATCATCTGTGGTGTTGCAGCTTCTGTYGGTACTTCCCAAGCTGACTGTAATTACTTGTTTCTAAAAATACAGATTTAACCTCCTTACCCCTCTGCTCGCCCATCTTTTCTGATGGGCTGGAGGGATCATGCTCACTTTGTATSTGACAGATGGGGGCAGCATTTCCCCTCAGCACAGTGGGAACCCACAGTGATTTTCCCTAGAAGATGATACCAACTGTGTGGCACCTTCTGCTGAAAGAGCTGTAGCTGTGAGCGCTGCCTGCCCCACTGGCCCTCTGCATTCTGCCTGGTAGTGATTCCACTGGAGGGACCTGTGTACTGGGCTGCTTTGCAACAAATGCTTTTTGTACCCCACTTCCCTCACTGCTGCCTGCTGGCAGGTGGGATGAGAAGCTTCTTTGGCATCATTCCTACCCCCACTCCTGTTCTTTAGCTTGAAATAGACTTCTAGCCCTTTTTCTGGCAACATAGCTGGGAACCTGCTTCAGGCTGTGCTCACTACAACAGGATTAACCTCTTGTTAAAGCCATCTCCTTTTGATCTAGCCCTGTTGGAGCCAATCTATCCTGACTCTCTGGCTTAGTAAGGGCATGATGAAGTGTTTGCAAGAGGATTCTCCCACCGTGTTGTGGGATTTTCCCCAGCGCTTCCTCTGTTGGACACTTTACTGCTGCTAATCTCTACATTCAGGACTCGTGCCGTTGCAGACCCAAGGCGGCTTTCAGAGGACTAGTGCTTTTGGAGGCAACAAATCTGTTTGATTGAACAATTCCAGTGGAGTTTTCTTGCTGTCGCTTTGACTGTTCATCTCGGCTGTCAGAGGAAGGGCCCTGTGCTCAGGGTCAGTGAGCTGAAAGAACAGGAATATATTGCATATCACCTTGAGAATTAGGGATTTTGCCACTTCAAAAGGATATTAAATTTGACTGGGGAGATTGTGACCAAATCTCCTTCCTTGCACTTGCTTTTCTTACAGTGTTGATTCTTTTTTTTTTTTTTTCCTCATTTTGCCTCTTTCCTTTTGCTGGTAGTTGCCGGAGAAGTTTACGCCTCCAGCCCCCATCACAGCTCCAGTCATGAGCCTCCCTACAGAGCTCCAAGGGATCCATCCTCAGATCTCCAGGTTGCAGGAAGCTGGCCAGTCACCCCCAGGAGCACCCAAGGAAGGCAGCCTGCAGGTACCCAGGGAAACAGGGGTGTTCCCAAGGCATTAGCTCCTTACAAAGTAGAGAAACGGGTCAGCTTTAATGCTTCTCATTGCATGGCAGCTTCAAATTTATACGCTCCTTTCCCTTGGACAGATTGTTAGAGAATTGTTAAGAGTTGTTGGAAAATGACACCTAGACATGGTGGAGAAGAATAAAGGCCAGACAGGCAGTTAGCCTGCTGGGAATCAAGAATCCACAGGGACCTGAAGCTATACTACAGTCTGAAGATAATATAATCCAGTGCTTCCAGATGTTCTCCACGTTTGCCAAAATGTGACCTTTCTGTCCCTAGTTGCAAGCAGGGGTTCTGCCCATGCTGGCCTTTCATGCTCCTGCTGCTTTCACTCAGCTACTTCTTTCTCTGCCAGTATCACCAGCTGCCCACGGAGAGGATCGAAAGGAAGGAGGTGCCCCCTGAGCACCAGAATCTGAAGACCACATTTGAAGATTTGGTGCAGCGCTGCTCTGCTGTTGCCACTGATCCAGTAAGTCCTTCCTTTTCTGCTGTTTGGCTTTATTTTCCCTTGCAGATCTCTGGCAGGCACTTCTTTCTTTTGATAAGAAAAAGGGAGGAAGAGATCTCTCCTTGTGTCCAGGTTCACCTTCATCTGCCTCCTTTCTTCAGGCCCATAGGCTTGTCCTAGGGCAAGCCTTGGGATTTGAGATGTTTTCTCTAGCTCTCAACCATTCTCACAAGTGTGCTTGGTTGTGCTTACTCTGAGGAAAAGAGAAGAAACAACCCAGAACATTCAGCCTATTTTTTTTTTACTTGCTTGATCTATAGATAGCTCCTGCAGAGCTGGCCATCAAGAGTCCTTAGAGGGAAAGGCAGGAATACCCTGACTAGAAGAGGAAGCCAGACAGTCTTTGTTTTAATTTAAGACAAGTGTTTCTCCACCTCTGGCCCCTGCAGGGCCACTGGCATGCATGCCATGTTGCATTAATATATCTAGCTTGACTGTGTCTGGAACTAGAAGAGCACTGTTTGCAGCTTTGTGGTAGGCTGCTAAGGCTTCCCAGACCTTGGGACCACTGTGAAGTCTCCCAGATGGCCTCTGCTTAGTTGTTGTTGGAACTAGCACCAAGTCCAAACTTTCAAGCCATCCTGGAATTAAACAATTTGGATGTAGGATCAGCTTCAGGTTGTTTGCTGTGTGTTTTCTGGGAGCACAGAGCAGCAATTTCTGTGGGAGAGTGTGAAGGTTCCCTGTAGAGACAGAAAGGCATGTTGTTTTGACCTCAGTCATTTATAGCTTTAACTCGGGTTGTATGTAGCTGGGTGGACACATCGGCATCTCTGAGCTTCTAAGCTCTGCCAGGCCTCTTTCATCATTGCCCAGAACCAACCGTTGCTGTTCACAGAGGTTTGCCTGTGAGTGGATTACCTGGGTGAGGRTAATGTAGTTTGTTCCATCAGAACTTCAGTACTTGGTCCCCTTCATTGGTAGTTACCTAGTGGGAGAAGGATATTCCCTCCTGTCCTTGAGGAGACAGGGAATGAGCAATCTCCTGAGGTCAGTCAGGATGAGGCTGTCTGGACGCCCATTTGGTCATTCAGTGGATGTTTCTCAATCTTTGGAAGCRGTTTTTCTGTCCTGCGGTCTGCCAGCACTGCCAACAGGGAGAAGTGCCTGGGTTGGGAGATGGGGAAAGTGATAAATACAACTCTCCATCTGGAGGAGAGAACAGAAGCACGTACAGACCTGCATGGTGAGGGCATGGCATGCTGGCTTGTATTGCAGTCCCTGACTGTGATTTATCTGTCAGAGGCTGGGGTGCAGCTGAATTGCAAGGGATTTGGGGAAGAAAAGAGGAGATAGGGCTTGAGCTGGGTCAACTTAATTCTGAGAGGAGTGAATTTAAAGCCCTGGCAGAGCTATCAATGCCTGTTTCATTGCAGAAAACTCGAAGGAAGCTGGAGGATGCGTTGCAACGGCTGGAGTGCTTGTATGAGAAGCTCCGTGAACAAGTGGTGAGTAGAGGCCACCTTTCCCAGTAGTTCTGCTGGCTTCTCCATCCCTCCGCTGTGATGGGTTTGTTGTCCTCAGCTGCTGTTCCAGTGTCTTCAGCACAAATGAAAAAATCAGAAAAACAAGAGTTTTCTCTCTCTTGAAAACAGCTAGAGGAATGCCAAACACTCCTTGAATCCAGGCAGCCTTATCTCCCTTCCTTCCCCCTTCCTCTTGGCCCATAGATTGTATGAGGGGAAACTGTGTGGTGCTTTTATCCCTGGGAAGTGTACTGGCATTCAAACAGGTTCCAAACAGGAATGAGCGGCTTGTAAAGGAGTAATTGGGGGTGGTTATTMCACTAGGGAAGCCTAGCATAAGCTTCAACTTGGAAGACTCCTAAAGTGCTGAAGAGATATACATTATGGGTAGAATTCATAYAACACTTTCCTCAGTGTCCATATTAGGCCTGAACAGAAGCAGGATTTTGTGCTTGTTAGACCTGTGACCTCYTAAAATACATCAGCTAATTAATACTGAAATGTCATTACGTAAGACCTATGTTTATTGTAATCCAGTGTGAGTATTGGATTAATGTATGCTTTATGCTGGGCAACGGAGGAAGGAAGCAGCCCAGCCTTTTCCAGTGCTGCTTCTGTAGATGTTTGGTGAGGATGAGGAGAACAGCAAAAGAGAAGGGCTKGGAGGGAGAAGGCCTGTGTTAGTGCTGAGGGTGCTAATGCATTTGTTTTTCCTCCCTGCAGCTCTCTCCAGCCATTCTAATGGGTCTTCATGAGATTGCTCGCTGCATTGAGGCTAGGAACTACCAGCAAGGTCTCCTGGTTCATACCCAAGTGGTGAGCAGCAGCAGTTTCAGTGAGGTGTCTGGCTTCATGCCCATCCTGAAGGTCCTCATGACCATTGCTGGCAAGCTGAATGTCTAAAGTGGACTCCCTTACCTATTGATGTGCTGCAGTTTGTGGACTCTCCTTCTGGCTCTGGAGAAGAAAGTCTGTGCCAGGAACTGAGCCGGGCCAGCACACCTGGTCCTGTCTGCTCTCCAGTCATCCCTGTGGGGCCTGGATTTCTTGGAGACTGTTCTTTCTCTTTCTTACTGGTCTTAGGCTGCTTTCTAACCTGGGAATCTTGATATCAGGCTGCCTATGTTGCACAGAGGTCTTTCCAGAACTGCTCCTCTTCCCAGTCTCTCTCCCCTCAGAGAGGGGAAGCTCCCCTCCCAGGCTGACACTATTTTGGAGTAGGACGCAAACAGTGCTGGCGCTTTCGGCACCACCAAACAGAAGAGCCCCAGGCTCTATTCCCCACTCCTGTGTGAACTGGTCCTGAGTGACCACTGGGCCCCCTTGGGACTTAAGCTGGGGTGTCCCTGCTCCACTGGGCCGCATCAGTTCTCTGATTCCTCTTTTCTCTTCATTCTAATCTTTGACTCTTTCCCCTCCTCCCCCTTACCATGCTACCACTAGCACTGCCAGCCTGCTCCGGGCTCACTTTGGTTCTGTCCATCTTCTGTGTTCAATCCTCCCTTTTCATAGTCTTCTCTGCACCCTCKACCCCTTTCTTTATCTCTCTTTTCCTTGAGAGCCCCACGTTTGAACYTCTTTTGTTTCAGGCCCGGGACTGTTTCCCCTCTTCTGACTGTGGAGACTCTCCTGTCCTCAGGAATGCTGGCAGGTTGGACTCCTGCTCAGTGCACGCCTCCCCAGAGCCAGGGGCATCCTGTGCTGAGGCTGAGAGCCGTGCTGTCTGGCTTGTGCACTTTTCCACTTCCTTTATGTTAGCACAGTTGGCCTCTTGCCAACCAGTGTTATCTAAAGGCTTCCCACATTGGGATTTCCAGACAGGCTAAGGGCTTTAGAAGCAGCAGGGGTTGTACACRTCCCTTGAGAGTCCCCTTAAGCTGCTGTGAACAAATTTGCCCAAATTTGAGCAGGGGGAGACAGCTTATTGCTACAGGTGTGGTGGTGTGTTCTGCCTATAGTAATGGATATGTGTGAGGGTGATTCTCCAGGGCCCTGAGATGGTAGGAACGTGCTGTTGGGGTGATGCACTAGGCCCTGAAGAGACAGACCTGATTTGAGGCTTTTCCACACTGTGGTGTTTCTTTTGGGATGAAACAGGAGTGAAGCATATTTGTCCCACAGAAGAAGCCTGGGAAGGCAGAAGGGATTTTTAAGGCACATCTGTACTTTTCCCTCCCTTGCTCTTACTCTCTTTTATACTAATCAGGCAGCATAAATCCTTAGCTCCTAGCTGGGAGCAAGGCTTCTTTACACTGTTTGGTTGCAGCCTGCCCCTGCTTCCTCTGCTTGCTGCTTGAGTGATACTGCTGTTAGGGGTCTGTGGTTCAGGGACTTGGGCAATCAGCCTGCTCCACCACGAGGGAGGGARGAGGGAGAGGGCAGGACTTGCTCTCTCCTTGCAGGTCAAAGTGCCTCCTTGTTGCTGCTGTGCTCTGTTGCCATTGCTGCGGTCTGGTGCACTGGGAGATTACAAAACAGTGAAATAAAAGCTGTGTTTTGTGGTGCTGCTAGTGTCTTTCCTGGACTTGAGCCTACAGCAGCTGCCTGTCACCTGGCTTTGGTAGGCTTGTCTCAATCTGCAGGGCTGCCCTCTGGGTTCGCAGCTGCAGTGTGGGGAAGAATTCAAAAAGGTTCGGGGCAAACTAGGTTGTGGGCTCTGCTGGTGTGGGCAGCAAACATCCTGGCTTGGTAAGACCTCAGGCCATACTGCACAGGGCTGCAGGTCAGAGAACTGCTCTTCAAATCACCTTCCTCAGTTATAACTACTCATCTGCATCAGATACAACTAAAAGGGTCTGACGTGGCTGATACTCTCTTGGGGAATCACTGGGCTTTTTGTTATCATCATGGGGATTTTGCACTTTATATCAGGGCTTGAAAGCATGTTAGTAAGCAGAGGAGATGACATCCTCTCTTGCTGCAGGTCTGCTTTACACCATTAAAGCTGTGCTGCTTAAACTTGCATGAGGATGTGATCCACTTCGTGCAAGCCAGGCTTATAGCATTGAAATGTCAATTCTTATCATTAGACTATAAATTCCGAAGCTATTAGTTGATTGCATTTAAGCTTACCTGTAGATAAGGCAAAAGTGAGAGATCAGGACCTGAATAGAGCAGGGGAAATTAGTCCATTTGCAAAAAGACTAGCATAAGCTCAAAATAGTTTTCTTTTTGCAACTGCCTGACTAGCCAATGTATATGTGTGGGCCAGCCAGTCATAAAAGTATGAAATAAGCAGGACTGTTTTCTGGCTTCTGGTTTAGAGGTCTTGGGAGGAAGCAAAGATTTAGAGAGGTGCATGGGGAACTTTTTAAGGGTCCTTGCTAGAAGGGGTGTGTGATCTGAGGTGTATGGACAAGGTACGTGAGAATGGGGAAAGCAGCTTTGTTGGTCCTGCTGCTCACAGAGGCAAATGCCAACTGGAGGGGAGTCCTGTGTTTGGGCACATGTCCCAGCCAGGCCYGGGAGCAGTTACCCCTCAGCCCTCCAGCTGTCCACCATCAGGGAGGTGCCCAGTGTTTTTCATGAGCTTCAACTGTTGCTGAGGTTCAACACACAAGCACCAGCGATGCTCATGTGTTTAGCCTGTGTATAAGGAAAGTCCTCAGCCTTTCTGCTGTGATTCAGCAGCCTCATATGAGATGTGTTAGGCACTCAAGTTCCCTTCAGTGAGCTGCTGCTCCTGTCCATGGGCTCATGCAGGGACTGACTGTTTAACCTGCCTTTGTGTGTCCTTCCCGCTTGTCCCCTTTGCCCCGCAGTTGCTCAGTTCTGCTCTGGGTTTACCACAGCAAGCCTTGGAGAGCAACCAGGCAAGATGGGTGGCAAGCTGACTCACCTAAGGGTTCTCGAAAGGCTTGCGGCAGAGGCAAGGACAGGACCTGGGTCTGYAGGGCCCTCATGCCCTTGTTGACTCATGGCTTGCCTGCAAGAAGCTGCTGCACCATCTCTGCTGGCTGGTAACAGCTCCTGGTTTCTGGTGGCTTGGCTTTGTCTCCTCTCATGTGGGCTCCTCCAGCGACCTGCACCACGCATGGAGAGGAGAGCGTTTTCTGTGGGGTTTTCAGCCTTTGAGCTGACAAAGAGCTGGGCTGCAGGGGCAGTAGGAAGGGATCCCTGGRCACAGGGTGAGTGGAGCCCTAATCGCCGCAGATAACATCATGTCTGCAGGCTAGGCTTGTGTGTGTTTGGGGGAGCTGGAGGGGCTGAGATTGTTAGGCAGTATTTGTTTGTAAAGCCACTTGCTCTGAGGATAATGCTTGCACTAACTTCTATTGAGGGAGCAGTGTGAGTCCCCACAAAGTCCTTTCCCAAAGTGTCTTTGAAGCCAAGAACCCATTGAAAGGAAGAAAGGCCCAGAGAGGGGATTAGTTTGTTCAGCAGCTGTGAATTTCAGTGGGAGGCTGATGAACTCCAAAGTCTTTGTTGAGATTTTTTTTGTAAGGAGCCCTGCTGGAGGGAGAGACCCACACGGGGGCCGCGGCCTTAGACAAGAAGGAATCCGAAGCGGCAGGGAGCTGTAAACGGGCCACAAGGACTTTTCCCAAACACTTTTCGGAAAAGGTGTTGTGAAGAGAGCGGAGGGGGATTAGCATGTGAAATGACACTTTCCATTGACTCCACAGAGGGGAGGGGAAAAGGGCTGGCTGGCTGGCTGATTTATTAGCATTTTGTTCCCTTCTCTATTCTGCTGGCCCGGCTGCCCCCCTCCCTCGCTCCCCTCCTCCCCWAGCCCTCTAAAGAGGTTTGGATTGGGAAAGGGAGCGGGGGGCTGCCTGTTTGTGTGTCATCTGGGCGAAGGTGACCACCTGGGAAGCTGAATGTAAATATTTCTCCTCTGAGGAATGCGCCTTCATTAAAGCGAAATGAATACGTGGAAGCATCCAATCGTGCGCACAATGGCAGCGGGGCCCTTCCCGCCACGGGCTCCGGTGGCCGGGATGCGCACCCCGACCYGCTGCAGGGCCCAGCGCATTTTGCAGCTGCCGCGTCGCCATTTTGTGGCAGGGAGAAGCGGCGTGTGGGGCGCTCCCCGCGTGCCCCACGGCTCGGGTGCCTTGGGGGTGCTGTGCTATGCCCCCCCACCCACAGCATCACTGCACCAAGGGGGCGCAGCCTGGGCCGTGCTGTAATCGTCGTGGGGCAGTCACGAAGGCAAGAGGGGTGCCCTGGCGCGTGCTGGAAGTGGGGAGCAGCTGCTGCGTCGCTGACTCTTCCTTCTTGGAGGAGTTGGTCTTGGMAGAGGGTGCTGAGAGGGGCAGGAGCTGTTCCGTGTGCCTTGCATCCTGACGCTGGCCATGCTGGGCAGGAGGCAGCAGCTCTCTGCTTCTCTGCCCGAGTTTTGCCCCGTTTCCCCCTGCAGGGAGATACAGGGCAGGGTGAGGGAGGATCTGCTGACACTGAAGCGAAGGAAGTCTAGGGCAGGGTCCTTCTGCTGGTAAAGAACAYTTGTACTAACAAGAACCCTTGAACGAACAAACAGCTGGTGGCTTGTGTGTGAAGTGGAAATGTTTGAGCTTTGCCTGAGGATGGGCTTATAGTGTTTCCTGCAATTGTGAGGGGGCAGATTCTTGCCTCTTGTGACTGGTCTTGCCCCTAATGACTCTCCAGCTCTGCGCTAAGTCCAAATTCCCATCCCCATCAAGGTAGTCCTGATATCAAGATGATCTTTGCTAACTAAGAGACAAAGGGATTGATACGATTGGTAAGTGTCTTTGATCTGTGCAGTTGTGCCCCTTTCTGCCCCTCGCAGGTAGCTGCATTGCAGTTGGATGCCACTTCAGACAAGCTCACAGAGCAAGCAGGCCCTTTCCTCCTGTGGTAGGAGCAGAGTGGGATTAGGTGCAGGGGAATGGCTCTTGTCTCCCCAGCACTGAGTAAGGGGCTGAGTCTTAAGTCTTCAGAACAATAACCACATATATCCAGATGCTGTTGGATGTGGAAGCACCCGACCAGTGAGACACACCACCATTTTGCAAGCACTTGGCTACCAATTTATTGCATTGGCTATTAGTTTACAAACATTGGTTACAAGACAGGTCTAAGGGCCAGTCACTTAACTCTGCTGGCTTCTCATCTGCCTAAAGCACCCTTGAAACAGCAGTGTAGACAAAGACCTCCCAGCCCAGGGGAAATCACTGTGATGGGCAATAGGCTGCCCCCAGGCCTGCAGCTGACAGCCTCTTCCCTCCTACCTCAGCTATGGCAAGGGAACAGAGATGCATCAACCAAGTCTTYCTGCTGCTTGCTTAGCCTTTAGACTATATACAATAAGTGGTAGAGGAAAAACTGTTATGTATATATCACAGTAACTGCACAATAAATTAAACTTCAAAGTGCTTCACTTTCCTATTTACAACACCTTAAATAGTAACTGACATTATTTTCTCAGGCTAGGAAGAAGTATTTAGTTAGTTAGGTGACAGAGTAAGAGCGCTTGGCCAGTATACCAGGAGATGGGGAATAGGCTCAGCTGGCAGCTCTGCTCCGGGAGAGATTTGGGAGTGAAGAGGGAGAACAGAACTGTGAGAGTATCTTTCTGGGATCGGTCAAGGCCTTTGGTTGGTGTGTTGGGTGATGAGTGCCAATCTTGAGGGACTTAGAAGATGCAGAGTAAGTGTATGAAAGCAAGAGATAGGACCCCTCTTTTGGACAACTCTTTAATGGGTAGGTCACGCAGCAGCTTGAAATCTTGCTGCTGGAGTCTCTCAACTGCAARGTAAGGCAGGGGAGAGCTTAGGAAATCTGTGAATAGATGGGAGGTGACTTTGTGGCCCTCTTGGAGGCTGGCTTGTTGCAGAAAGGAGTTAAATACTTTTTGACTTCCCTCATAGTGCAGGGCCTAATAAAAGGCAGTGACAAAATCTTCAGGATACAAGAAACATCAACCAAGCCTCTCTTGCTTTAGGGACTGCTGCCCTGAGTGGCATTCTTGCTCAGAAGTCCAGAGCAGGTGCTTGTTTGGGGAAGCAGAAAAGCTTGAGGAAAACAGAGGCCACAACACCAGGTTATATGTTCTTCCATAAAACCTGAGTCACCAGAGCGACTCCAGGTCAAAGTGAACAAATCTCACTTTGCTTCATCAACACTTGAGGGTCTTACCAGAAGTCATAAGCCACTGCACTGGTGGGGATGCCCCAGCATGGGCATGACCCTGGGCCTCAYGTTTTCCATTATCCAAGTTCTAGTGAGATGGGGGTGGCTGAAGAGACCTGTTGTGGAAGTGGGATAGAACTAAGCCAAAAGGGAATGGTGCTGGGGGCTGCTGGGGAGAGGAGGAGGGAAGGGGAAAAGATGGGCAAACAGGACCATGGAGGAGCAGGTGACAGTTAGAGCTTCCTCTTGAGCTTGCGGCTGGCCCCACCGCCGCCGCTCCGCTCCCGCTTCTCCTTGCGCACGCAGAAGTACTTGGTGACCCTCTTGCGGCACTGCTCGCAGCGCACGGCGCAGCACCAGTGGAACTTGCAGTTGCAGCTGGACACCATCTCAGCCCGCCGCTCCTCCACCGCCAGCCCGCAGTCCCCGCACAGCCGCCGGCAGCTCCGCTTCTCCCACTTGCTGAGCGCCTTGCCCCGCTTCAGGCACTCCCTGCCCTCCGTGCCCAGCAGCCCCAGCGTCTTGTTCTCCAGGCAGTAGTCGGGAGAGTCTTCTAAGTGGACCAGCTCCTTCTTGGAGATGGAGCTGAAGGTCTCGGCGATGGCCCCGCGGCTGGCAGCGCTGTTCCCTGCCCCCTGCAGCAGGTCCACCTTGAGGGCCTTGTGGTAGCGCTCTTTGAGGTAGGTGCCCACCTCCCGGAACTCGGGCAGCTGCAGCCAGCAGGTCTGGGTGGTGCAGCTCCCGGACACACCGTGGCATTTGCATGTCCGCTTCATGGTCCCTTTCACGGCCTGCAGAATGAGCAGAGAAAAGGTTCTCAGGAAGAAGCCTGCAGGGCTTCATGGGGTCGTTTCCGTACTGCAGCTCAAGTGTAAATTTGGCTCCAAGCCTGTGAAAGGGCTTCCTGGGAACAACAGCATTGCCCAGGGCTTTTTTTTTAAAGTTCAAAAGATTGGTTATCCAAGATGAAATGCAATTTACAATAGAGGAAGGAGGAAGAGGGCACCAGGCAGGAATTAACACCATAATCATGTAACTCTGGCTATGTTAAAACAAACGATGTGAGTCGCATCAGTACTGATAATGCCTCTCTTTCTCCTCAGCAAGGTAATTATTTCTTCTGAGCACGTGCTTTTGGCCACAGAGAAAAGCACAATGCTGCAGTGAATAGCCACAGCAAAGGTGGTACCCAAATCTGGAAGTAGAGATGGGACTCACCTTTCTCCCAGCCTCGTTGTTGTGCAGGTTCATAGCAGCTCTGGCATCTTGTCCAGTCTCCAGAGCATCCACAAACTGCTTGGAAATGGCTTCCCCAAAGCCCACGTTGTCGCTGCAGCCTCCCCACAGCCAGCCTTGACCCCCTAGGGAAGGAGACAAGGTGAGCGCTTTTAGGGAAGCCCTTTGCTTCCTGGCTTGTAGCGCCAAGGATGAGAAAGGGTCCCAGAAGAGATGGAGGGAATGAAGTTGTGGGAGAAAATCTAGCTTTCTGCCTAGTGATATTTCCATATTTTCTCCAGTTTATGCCATTTCTAAAAAGACTTAGATATGAACTATCATATTAATGCAGGCAACTATTCGTGTAGGCAATGGCAGGGAAATGTCATGTGTTACCAGCCCAGGAACTTCCCTGCTTTCTCTAGGGGATTTAGAAGCTGTTAATTATCCTGCATTATATTCCCTTCCCTCAAACTTTGATTTTAACTGTTTTACTCTGACTTGTAGAGACAGCATATGCTTGTCCAACACATGTTGCCAACTTGGATTAGGTAACTTTTGTTTACACATCCCATCAGAGCAGGCAGATTCCTCTTTGCTAGGAAGCAAACCAAGCCTGGTACGTGTGTACCTGTGAGGTCCTCTTTTCAGAATACCCAGGTTCCCAGACTGATCTTCAGCATCTCCAATAGCCCTGATTTCATAATTAGCACGAAGAGACGAGTCAGCTCACAACTGGGAAACTCCATACCAAGACATTGAATTTATTTTTTCTTACCTGGGCTTGTTAATTTAGTTCATTTGACATTAAATAAATTGTGTGGTTTGTTTCTTTTTCTCCTAGAGAAAAACATCAAATTCTCTGTGAAGATTTGAAATCTGGAATATTCTAACTCTAAAGTGCTTCGTGGTACATGTTGGGAATTGGTGTTTAATGGCCCCATGGCTCTCTCCTCTCTGAAAGGCCAGGCCCTTCACTGGGCTTCCACAGATCATTGCAATCCCCTCTTCCAGTGAAAGGAAGCAATGTCTCCAGGCAGGAGAGTAATTGCAGTAGATGATGAGGTCCCAATCGAGCCCTGGGCCTAAGGAAGAATGGAAACGCTAACAAGCCCAGCTATAACAACTCTGAGTCATCACAGTGGCATTTAGAATTGGATCATATTATTTTGGACCAACCCATATTTTCCTTTGCCTTCCAATGTTTTAAATTGACAATGGAAAATTTTCATGGAAAACAGACATGTTTTCTTGGGGGGGGGGGAGGAGACGTGTAGCATAACTAACTCAATTTTCCAGAGTAGTTAAAATTTGGTGTCTCATTGCCCTAAACTCCTGCTCTCTTAGAGACTGGCCATCCCAGACATCATACACGCAAGAAGCACACTGGTTGTTTTAAGACTATTGGTCAATAAAGCAAATTACCAAATATTGGGCATTTCTGTTGAGCTTGTCATAAACTGACTAGTACAACTGTGCGGGGAATGGCTCTGAAGAGATTTTGATCATTTGAGAAGTGGCTTCTTTTTATTCAAAACATAACACAAAAAATGTCAATGTTTTTCTGTGGGAGGTGAGTGGTGACCTGCAAGTTCTGGGGGTTGCCCACAAGGGAAGGCCATGGAGAAGGCCTGGCTGCAGGCCTGGCTGCAGCTGTGACAGTAATGAGATGAGGGCTGCATGCTGCCACAGCGGTTCTCCTGACTGTGCACACCACCCTGACTAATACTCATGGAGTTTATAGCTGCCACCCTGCCCTCTCCTACTTGTAATTCTAATAGTTTGGCTCCTGGGCTACCCTGGTACTGCAGACCTGGAAGCCCTGAGATCCCTGATCCGCACTTTTCTAACGAGGCATACTATTTAGATGCACAGCACCATATCAGGTCTGCTTCTGTTATGCTTCCATTCCCTCCAGTGCTTTAAACTGAGTTGTCCTTAATGTGAACGAGAAGAGCTGCCACCCCCTTCCACTTTTCTGCCCGTTTTATTTCCCTAATGTAATGGAAAACATCAACGGCCTCAACTGGTGTAATTTGGAGGTGGCTCCGTTAGCTTCCACAGAGCTACTTTGATTTCCACCAGACAAAGCTCTGTTCTGGGAGTAACCTGCAGGTGCTGGGACCACAGAAGCATCTGTTTCTCCAGGCGTCTGTGCAGGAGAGCTTTCCCCAGCGTACAGGGCATGAGAGATGGGCCACGGCTCGTCTCCTTACCAAGCTGTCCATTGCGGGAGTCATCGCAGCCGCAGTTGTCAAAATCCCCGAGGCTGCAGTTCCGGGTCAGCGTGTACATGACACCCGCCGAGCTGATGGCATGGACAAAAGCAGTTTCTCGGTTGGCTGTCAAACAGGAATACAAGGAGAGGGGACGTGCTAGGAACTTCATAATGAGGACAGCGTTAGAAATGCTCCTGCTATGCAGGAGTAGGAAGAGATTTGCAATYGGCAGGCCTCTGTGGGTTGGAAATGAAGGCCTGCATGTAAGATTAACCTGCTTTTAGCTCAAGCTACAGAGGGATGGAAGCTCCCAAATTCAATCCACATTGTTTTGTGTCATTTCGAAGAGCACAGGTGAGTTTTGGCTGTCCTCATGGGAGCTCTCCATCAGGGATGCAGTGTAGACCAGTACGTATCCCACCTCCCACTAATACACTTCAGAGGGAAAGGGGCTCCCGGCAAGGACCAGAGAGCTGATGCCCAACAGCCTGCTCAAATCCATAGCTCTGGGCAGCGTCCATGACAGTCCATTGGGATCTGTGTGGTGATTATCAGCTCACTTCCCTGACCCTTTGCCTCACATTAAATGCCAGCAAGGCCTGGTTTTGAGCAGATAACCGAGGCAGGAACAGTTCTGGGACCTGCTCCCTCTCTCAGGACTGTCACTCCATGCCACAGTTTCCTCCTCAGGGACCCAAGCAACCTGTCTTGGATTTTCAACCCTCCATCCCTCTTTGCACAGGTCCTTTGCTCACTGACAGCCCCCCAAAGCCCTCAGGCTCTCTGGCTGCAGCCAGGTCCTGCCTGTGCGTGACAGGAATGACCCCCACAGCACACAGGTGTCCAGAGGATTCGCCTCTCTGCACTGAAGCACTTCCCAGAACCTGCAAGTAGGTAAAGAAAGGGCTGGCGGGGAGGAGAGGGGAACTTCCCAGGACTTGCAGGCAGGGAAGAGGCACTGGTGAGGAGAGGGGGGACGCTGGGCGCTGCCCCGCGCCCAACGGGGCCGGCAGCAGCCTCGACGCTTCCCTTACCGCTGCGCAGCCCGCCGTGGCTGGAGAGCTGCAGYGCCCGCTCGGGGCAGTTCCAGCGGTCCCAGGCGAACTGGAACTTGCACTCCTCGATGCCGCTCTGCGCGCCCGCCGCCACGCTGCTCGAGTAGATGAGGTAGGCCTAGGAGCAGAGCGGGCTCAGCGCGGCGGCGCCGCGGGCATGGCGGGGCAGCCATGTCTGCCGCAGGGCCGGCCCTGCTCCCTGCCCCTGGGCTGCGGGACTGGAGCAAGCCCTCGGCCAGACGGCCCTGCGTGTAAGGAAACCCACTGGGGCTCAGGGGAGTCACTGGTGCTCAGGTTTCCACCACTGAGCAAAGCCAGCATGGTCCCAGCCGTTCCCACCGAGCGCCGAGGCTGCCGTGAGGTGGACGTGCTTCGCGCCGGGGTGTTGGTGCTTCATGGTTCACAGAAGTGCCCCAGGCCCCCGCGGAGGTGGCACTTGAGCCACTCTCCTACCCTCGCTGGCAGAAACAAGATGTGCAGAACCGAGGAACCTTCCTGGGTTTGTACCCCATGGATGTGATTGCTGGCAGGAGCAGCAAGTACACGTGTACTGGGCCGGAGCACGCGTGTCCCCAGAGGGAGAAAGGCAATGAAGATGCCAGGTGACAGGCACACTGGGGAAATCCTRGCCCAAGCCCGGGCACAGGTCCTAATGTAACCTGATCGTGAGGGAGCAATAGGTGACAGGTGGGGTCCTCAGCTGGTGCTAATAGACACCTCTCCAAAAYCTGATCCCCACCAACTTAAAGAGGCCTTAGGCTGCCTTGAACCAAGACCATCATAGCAGAGGGGTAGGGAAAGGCTGGTTGTGATGGTTTGTTTCTGGGTTTCACTTGCACAGTGTTTGGAAAAGTGGGTGCTGGGAGAGCACTGGCCAGGGCTGTGGAAGAGCAGAGGGAGAGGCAYAGCCTCCTCCCTCCGGTTTAGTGGAACCGGGGATGGACATCAAAGGGATTTCTCTTACCTTGGGGCCCGTCATCAGGAAATTATTCACTGACCTGGAAGAGAGCRAGACGCAGCGTGAGCGGGGAGGGGGCGGTGGTAGGGGGCCTGGGGAATGCCTGGCATCCTCTGGCTCGCCCCTCACCGCTGGCTCCAGGCATTTTTGACCTCACCCTGTCCCTCTTTGCAGTCCCCTGTGTGGTGGTGGKGGGGGAAGGCAGGGCCTTGTTGTCCTCCTCCCCTTCCCATCCAAGCTGCGGCCTCTCTGTGCTGCTCTCCCCCATTCTCTCTCCATAGCTGTTCCAGAACCCTCCCCTGTTCTCCTTTCCTCTCCTTTCTACCACTCCAGTGCTCAGCTCCTTTCCTCCTGAGCTGTGGTTCTCTCATCCTCCCTCACCTCTCCTTCCTGCCTTCTTCCTTAAGGCTGCCCTTCACTCCAATAACCCCAGTTTTCAGTGCTCTCTGGCTCTCATAGCCTTTCCTTTTTGCCTTATCAAGCATCTACTCCGCTCAGCCTAGCGTCATGGACCTCTTGCCTCTCCATAAGGGATATTGTAGCAGGAAGATCACACTACTGCTCATCCCCATGGGATCCTCCAGGTCCCAGCATCCTTGATCTCCCTCAGCCCATAGTCTCTCTTTGGTGGCCATTGCTACACCAGCCAAGTGCCTCACGGGGCATGTTTGTCATCCTGGCCCTGCTGGGCAGCCCTGTCACCACCTGGGTGCCGAGCAGGAACGTGTGGATTTGCCTTGGGAAGCAAATCAGGGAGTGGAGCCAAGCTCCTGTGCCCTGTGGCTGCGGATCTTGCAGCYGTCCCTGGCTGGGTGTGTGGGGCACCGACAAGGTCTAGGGCACTTGGTTTGCTGTTGGGGTCCTCTAGAGTTTATCAATGAAATAAATAGTTTGGGATCCTTTTATTCCTATCTAGAATCACATCCTATCTAGATGATAAGTAGCCATTTTGGAAAAACTAAAATGGGTCAGTATGTTCCCAAGTTTCAGATGGCCTCAGAAAGAAAAAACACCTCAAAAGGGTTTTCTATAATACAATATTTTTTCATGCTTAATAATCGCCAGCAATTTGAAAAGTGCTAGTCAAAATTAATTTTTGTGRTGTTAAGTGAAATATAAAACTCAAGATGAATTGTCTTGAAAAYTGTCAACTTGTAAGCATACGTGTGAAACACTTGATTCCGTGGATTCAGTGGAAGCTATTTCACTGAAAATGTGGAGGGCTATTTTAGTGATTTTTAAGCTTCAAGTCCCAGAAACATTCAACTTCTGGGCCGTGTGAGTGCTCTGTCTTGGTTCTTTGCATCACCAATGCCTAGTTTTTGTACAGAAGGAGAAAATTTTCAAAATGTGGGCCCTATCCTTAAGGATGTTAGAAAACAAATAAAATGARCTCTAATATTAATTTATTTATAAACCACAAAGCTAGTTTTACGGCCTTCTCGCACCTGTTTTGTGCTTCACGTGGGAGGGAAAAGTAAAGCCACTTGCTGAGCAAGCCAGTCCTTGGCTTGCTCATCCTGGGTTGCAAATTGCTTCTGCTGGACTTTTGATGTCAGGCTTGAACCCCAGCACTGGGGAGAGGGGTCAGCAGTGGTAGGATGGGACTAACCAGTTCAGTTCCCTCCTGTTGCCCTCACTTTCCCATTTGAAGCCATGGGATCTCCCATGTTTGCCTGCAGACTTGAGCTGCATTCCTCAGTTACACCTCAAGGAGAAGGTCTAGCTACTGTAGCTTGGGCGAAATCATAGGAAACCTGTTTTTTATTCAGTGATGAAAGTATTGTACTTTGTTTAGAACTAGTGGAGAGTTTTAAAATAGCGGAGAGAACTAGTTTCTGAAATTTCTCTTTGGAAAGGCTAAATTATTTTTGTGGAAATGTACCCCCAGTGGAGCTTTCATGGGGAAAGATTCCAGTGGGTGAGAAGGAGAGTCGGCCGGGGCCGGGGCGCGGAGTGAGGGCTTATCCCTTTGTTCAGGCCAGGGATTCGAACCCGGCTGTTCCTCAACCCCTCCGGGTGCTTATGCTCTAAGTTGATGGCTGTTTTGCAGTGGAATTTTCCTCTGGGAGCTGCTTCTGCATTGTACAGCTAATTAAATATTTCCTGGCACTCAGAGGGACGGGATCTGTCGCCTGGTGATTAGAGCATCGGGTGACCTGGATCACATAGGGGCATGAACCTGGGTCTTTTCAGACTTTGTAAGCTCTGTGGGTCCCCATCTTAATGCAACTGTGTAGTTGCATGAACGGGTCATTTTCCTTCTGTTTCCCTTCCCATCCTTTGCCTTTTCCTTAGGTGCCTTGCTACAGGGACGGCTCCAGCTGGCTTACCATGCTGCCAGTGCAAATGTGACCCCCATGGAGCAGCTGTGAGAAAATTCTGGTAAAATGCCCTCACGTAGGCAAGGCTGAGAGAAAGCAAGTCCTGTCTTGGTTTGCTTTTGAGACCGAAACAAGAGACACATCCCATCTGCTTTGCTTCCCACTTCTTTGGCAGGACATGCTGAATTCACTGCATGCCACAAGTACCTGCCTCAAAGCCTTGATGGCTTCACCTTGGGTTGRAAACACCTGAGCAGCTGGAAGGAGGAGAATAATAATTCACAAATTCGGAATTTACAAAGAACTGTCCCATTAGCGGGTGTCAGTTGGTGCAGCTGCTTTGAAGCAGAGGGGCTGTCCCTCCCGGGATAAACCTYGAGGTTCCCAAAAAGACCAAGTTCAGGATATGCCAATTCGCCATCTGCAGCTGAGCACATGGTACAGTAGCAATTTCCCAGCAGGATATTCTAAACACTTTTATCGAGTTGGAGAGACAGAAGTGTTTCCCCGGGCTCTCGGAGCAGCAGGCGCGCGGCAGAGCGGCCTCGCGGGACTGAGCCGTGTGAAGGAGTCATTCGGACTCGTGGGTTTAGCCCCACACGTTTAACCCCCCCAGCTGCAAGGGGGCTGAGGAGAAGGGGCGGTGGGACAGTTTGGCTGTCAGGATGCTGCTTGCTGCAGGGCAGCTGTATGGCYGGGAGGGAGCTGGAATGGTTATTTCAGGAACAAAAGGTAAAAATGGAGGTAAATTCTCTGTAATTTGTCTTTGCCCATATAATATAGCTAAGAAATCCCTGGATATATTCTCCAAGGATGGCAGAGAGCATTTTTACCTCGCATGTCACAAACATAATGCAACATAGAAAACMGCAGTAGAGTCATATCCCCATTATCAATGGGAATTGGTATGAAAATGAATCTCTTCATTTTTGCCCCATAATTTCTTTTCTTTTTTTTAAACTACTTATCTGACACTATAAAGGAAAGAAGAATGTAACCCTAAGCTAACTAGCCAGCCGCACCAGCAACAGGTGTAAAGCAGCCCAATTCCAGCAATTTCAGTGTTGCCACACTGATTAAACACATGAAAGGAAGCTCTTGATACGATTTTTCTCTTTCAGCAGAGCCTGTGGGGATTGCACTTATCTAGAACGCTTTCATTCCCTCTTCAAATTCCAGGGAAGTGTGATGTGGACTGAAACAGAAACCCAGATAGACGGTGGCAGGTAGCGAGAGAAAGGTCTGTCTGAGCGCTGCCCCGTTCTGCAGCCCAGCGCTGTCCGCCCAAGGTAAAAACAAAAACTTGAACACATATCCAGGGCAAGGGAGGTTTCAGGGCATCCTATAGCACCAAATTACAGCTGTATCAAAGCTAATGGGTATCTATTGCAGGACTTAACATAGCTCTGTGGGAAACAACTGCAAATTACCCTGCAAAGCAGCCATCCCATCGTATTTTATGCATATGAAACACTAATAAGCTTTTGACGTTATAAGCTTTTGACAATTTGAGCTCTGTTGCGATTTTACCAATAAGTACATTCCCCTCCTCAGGTCTGTTAAATAAGCATCAATCCTCATCACTGAGAAAATGGCCCAAGAGTCTTGTCAGGTCTCTCATGAAAATATCTGTTTCATCCTTGCTCATCCACCGATGCCTTAGTGTGCTGCTGATTTAGTTCTCTCTTTTTAGAAAATTTTGTGGCTGCATGTAGATCCTTACTGTCATGATAATAAATATAGGAAATGGATCCAATTTCACTTGGTTCTCTAGTTAAAAAAGAAATAAACAAATGAACAAAAACCTTCAAGTCATTTGAGAAACAGCAACACTGGACACTTAGGCGCAACTTTATAGCTGAAATGGAAAAAAACCTAGACTTAAAACTTGCTTAAGTTGCAGTGTTAGGGATTGTTGTGTTACTCCTACAATATAGGAGACTAGGAAGCAACTTGCTAGCATTTGAGGCTCTACATTTTTTATTTTCTTTTTTCTATTTAGTTGTAGTGTGTATATATATATATATATTATTTTTTTCCTAAATGAAACACTGATATTTTGCTTGCCTAGAAATGCACTGAGCATGCARCCTAGCCAGCATAGTGGAATCACCAGAGGTCTCTAACAAACAACCTATATAAAATTAATAGCTACTGGTCTAAAAGTCCTTTCCTCCCCACAAATTCAGGTGATCAGATAACAGAAAAAAAATCTTGTTGCATTTTAAACTATTGGATCAAATAAAGAAAAGTAAGTATTGCAAGCAGAATTTTTGCATGATTTTCATGAATCTTTTATTCCATTTAAGAATTAAGGGAGAGGATCTATAATAGGATGATTGGGAATATTTTTTTTTTTTGCAATATTCCCTGAAATACCTTTCTCTCAGAATATCATGACCTATCAGCAAGAAATCTAGAAGGACTATCTTGAACTATAAAGATTTCTCTTAAATAAAAACTTCCAAAAGGCACAAAGAGCACTTGGATACCCTGCCTGCCATTGAAAATGTCTGGGATTTGCTCATTTAACTATACTTCATGCTTCTAAAAATTCCCTCCTTTGATTTTTTTCCTAACAAACTTTGATTTTTTTCTTTCTTTTAACATAAACAGGCTAATATACTAAAATATACTGAGGAAAGCAAGAGAAATATACAGGGAGATAGAGAAAAGGAAAAGCAAATCAGCATAAGCTCTGCATACAGCTGTTGTGTAGGATGGGGAATTTATTTCGAGTTTGCTATTCTAAACTAAATATAGTTTGCTCTATTTACTGTATTTTAAAAGATATTAAAACAATTTTTTTAAGGGTGGGAGAACAGCTCTGAGAGAGCACAGATTTAACTTCTAGCCTAATGGAAGTGGACTCCCCTTTACTTTTGAGTTTATCTTTCTGCAATTTTGGCTTTTCCACCCATGGTAATAATTTCAGAGATCTGCTATGGAGCAGGCAGGGGATTTTAGTCACTAAATGGGAAAAGACTTTCCTTGCTGTTACAGATAAGGCTGTAACCCACTGCACACAGTCCCAAGGGCATCACAGTGCTCAGCACGGCTACTCAGTGGAAATTACGTATGAAAGAATAGCTGCAGAGCCAGGTCATGTGAGTCTGTCTCCRTACCTGGATGGGACAGGTATACTCCAGAAAGAAATGATGCTAGATTTGATTCCCCAAAAGTGCAATCTTTTTTCGGTCCACCTTGTAAAATATTTCTGGAAATCAAAGTAAAATCTCCCTGAGGACAGAGGAATAGACCCCCAGGGAATGACTGCTGCTTTATACTGGGGCAACTGGTCTGAACAGCGTCCAGGTGGTTGGGAACCATTTGAAAAGGAAGCCAAATCCCCCAAATTCAGGACCAAAATCTGCACCAAAATTTCCTTCTCAGAGGAAATCCAAGTACCCAGATTTCAGACAAACATAATCCTGTGCCTGCCAAGGAGTCCGGGTCTTGGTCTGTTCTGATGGAGCGATGCTCCTGCACGTTTAACTTATCCCTGCTGTCTCTGAGCTCTTAATCAGTGACTGTCGTCTTTGGGGAAAATGAGAAGACCCGTTTGATTAAGACAAGAGATAAGTAGACTGTGAGCCTTTGAGGGGAAAAAAGAAATCCCCCAGATTTCCAGTTGAGTTGTCTTCCCATTTGGCAATGAGAGGCTAGATCTTTATGTCCGCTCTCAGAAAATCTACTCTAATTTACATTAGATTAGGATCTGGTCCATAAAATTACTGCAAAAAGGTGAACGAGGGAAAAGGGGGCTTTTTTTGCTTAGATCAACCCTCTCTCAGACTGAGCATGTTTCAACTTAGTTAAATATCTGATCCCATTAGCGACTGGAACTCGGTTAGGTGGAAAAGAGGGGACGTTTAGGAAGGTGAAGAGGAATATCCTTGGGGTCTCTGGGAAGAGCACCTGCCCAGACACAAGCCGAGGTGCTCCCAATACTCACCAGGCACAGCAGGATTGGAAGAAGGGAATGAGGAAGAAGATGCCCAGATAAGGGTCCATGTGAAACATAAAATCCAAATAAACAAGGAAAAAGAAGATCCTGAAAAAAACTTGGGTACCACCACCAGGGAAAAGAAACAAATGAAAAAAAAAAAAAAAAAAAAAAA